CAATGAAGGATACTTCTATAAGAGATATATAGCTAGCCAATGGGGGCATGGCCTGAGGACATGGTTACGTAATTATATAGTGAACAGTATAGGGAGGTACAATACATCATAATATCTTTAACAAATGTATATATATATATATATATATATATATATATATCTCAATGGTGAAACAAGTAAATGCAGATTAAAATGTACATTTAGTTATAGAAAATTTAAAAGATCAAAGTCTGCGTTTAAACCTTCTGGGGTAAGGGTTTTTAGTAGGAACATCCAGTACATTTCTTTTTGACCTAAAGTTTTATTGATATCTCAACCTCTCCAAGGGAGTTTACATTTCTGGATCCCTCTACTCTTTAGGTATTTGGGATTTTTGTAATGTTTTAAAAAAATGTTTTGATACTGAGTGATTAGGGTATCCTTTTACAATATTACGACAGTGCTCCGCCAGTCTAGTTTTTAAGCATCTTGAAGTCATGCCTACATACTGTAGGCCGCATGGGCACTCAAGAAAATATATCACATTTTTAGTGTTACAGCATATGAAGTCTTTTATAGGGTAAAGTTTTCAGCATTGTGACAAACCTGATTTTGTATGGTGTCTAAAATCCAATGCTTGTCTGTAGTCTGACTCCATATTTCTGCAAAATGCCTCAGCTGTCCACCTACTTTGATTATGGCGTCAGAACTTTCTGGCCTGTAAATCTTGGGTTTACGAAATAATAGTTTTTTTTCCTCTCTGTATTTATATCTCCTTTGGAAGCGAGACTGAAAACATTTATTCCATTTTCCTGAGGGACAGCTTTTTTAGTAACTGAAATGGATTTATTAGATCATCCAGTGAATAATTAAACTATTTTTAAGTTCACAGCATGCCAACTTGGTGGCAGTATCAGCATACCCATGTTTATTGTGGCTAATTTAAATGATTCATCTGTCACCACGCACAGTTATTCATTAGCCAGTCTTTTAAATATTTTTAAATACGTTTTGGAGGATATTCATTGCTTTGGCCTGTGAGACACCCTTACAGTTTTTGGTAGTATACACTCTGGCAACAGTTAAGCCTGAAATTGTGGGAAAGGGGAATGCTTGACAAATGTGCCTTAAGGACATTTCAACCCTTTTATCCACTGGATCATTTAATCCGGTGACTTCTCCAGTGGGTAGAGTGGTCTTTTTAGATAGCTGTGCAATTGAAACATCTACTTTTGGAAATGTTTTTCCAAGCTTCCGTTATTTGCAGCTTGAACAGTTGCTTACATTTAATTGGCCTCAAAGTTATGGGGGTGGGGGGACTGGTGTACATGACTTTCCGGTTATGACCAGCACACTTGCTGTCAAACAGGTCTTTTAGCTCTTTAAATAACCTGGACTTTTACATTTTGGCACCAATATAAGACAAATGTCTAAAGCGGCAGACATGCTTCAAAGTGTTAAAAAAAAGTGCAGATAATTGTAAACCGGATTGCTCTTATTCAGCGCCACCTCGGTAGATGCACAGTCATGAATTCAAGGTCAGAATTCTATTGCCATCTTGTGGTAAGATGGGAGCATTCCAGAAACCTATTCAAATTCCATCTTGTCATTAATAAAACAGACAACCTTGGTATAGAGTTGTACTAGTTCCAAATCTTGTCTTGGTGACACAGTCTTTAAAGGTTATGCTCCAGGCTTCATTCAAAACCCATCAATTATTCATTAAAGAGATGAATTAACATAAATGCATTTAAAATAAAGCTATTCTCTATTGAATGTCCCTAGTTTGCAGTATAATTGTTTTCAATGTTTATTGCAAACACTCCAACGCTACATGGAAAACCGATAGACGCAGAATGATGAGGTCAGTGGTTTGGCCAATCTAAAACCGCTTGCCCCAGCGTGGTTGCTCTTTAATGCTTTGCTTTGTCCAATAGTGCATCTATAGTTCCAGTGACTCATTTTGGTTTTTTTCTTCTGCTTTTTCCTACATTCACCCAGTCCTCTGCAATCCCAACACAGGCTTCCATACCTTTACTTTAAATTCCCAATTTAGTGAATAACTGTGTGTGCTTTTAATTTGGTTTTGTGCTGGGGTAGGCAACCTTTCGCACTCCAGATCAATGCTTTCCTATGGGATTTTAAATGATACTGAATGTCTTCATGCAGAGCGTGAAGACGTCCAGCTTTAGGCGACCAAAATTCAACTAACCACCCGGAAGTGCCTCTAGTGGCTGTCTGGTAGACAAGATGTAGAGCTAACCCTGCAATGTAATTATTGCAGTTTATCAATAACTGCAATAATTACAATTGCAGGGTTAAAGGGACACTATAGGGTCAGGAACACAAACTTATATTCCTGCTATAGTGTTAAAACCACAATTTATCTGCTTTGGCCCTCCTAAATATAGTAAAATCTTGCTTCTATTCAAGTCTGAAGCTGCTGTCTCTGACCTGCCTGCTGTCTGCTGACATCTTCAGAAGTGGTGGTCTGAGCCACAATGCTTCCCCATAGGAGACTGTCAAGGAGGCAGAACAGGTTGCTAGGATAGTATTCATTAAGGGTTTAGGGTTTTATTTTGGTGACAGTTGCAGGAGAGGAATCAGTGTGCGGGGAAAGAAAGCTGTTGACAGTTTAATTGATATGCTGTCCTGAAGAAGTACATTTTCAAAGATATTTTAGAAGTGGAGAATGGGTGAAAGTCTAACAGAGAGGGGAAGGGCGTTCAATAGGAACGGTGCAGCCCTAGAGAAGTCTTTAAGGTAAGCATCAGAGATGGGAGTACGAACAGAGGTTAGACATAGTTCTTCGGCAGAGCGTAGAGGCCTAGACGGGACATATTTGTGTATTACTGAGGATAGATAGAGCAGCATTGTGTAGATATTTGTAAGCAAGCACCAGGATCTTAAATTGAGCCCTATATCTTACGGGAAGCCAATGTAGGGACTGACAGAAAGGGAAAAGTCCTCTTTGATGAAAAGAAATGGCTTTATCTATTCTTTTACAGCTTTCCCACCGTTCTTAAATTTATATAAAAAATGCTAGCAAAATGATGTATTAATTAGCAGCACAATTAGTACCCAAGACTATTTTCAACTATATTTTGTAATTGATTTGTACTTCTTTGCCCTTGAGTCAGTATGAACAACTAAAGGAATAAGACAAACGTCCAGATGGAGCTGTACATCTGGTGGAAGAGAACATTCTATAATTGGAATATGGAACTTAAATTTAATGGGTGAAATCCTTACCTGGCACAATGCGAAAATAACTACGAAACATATTCAATATATGTGTTCTGGTTGACATAGTATGGTGAGGCCGCAAACCTTTTACTAAATAAAATGTCCATTAAAAAATACAGGGAAATAACCAAATACTAACAATGCCAGTATGAATAGAAAGATGTTTGATATCTTGACGGGTTTTGTTGTTTGTTTTTAATTTGTTGTGTTCTTTATTGTTAAAGCACAACTGTGCTTCTGTTCGAATGATAATCCTAAATTAAAGTTGTGGTCAAGTTAAAAATGCTCTACATGTGATCAATGCAGCAAAGCATTGTTTTATGTATTTCCCACGTTTAACAAGCTATACAGAGTTATGGGAATCATTGCACTTTGACTAAACTGCCCAAAGAGAGACAGTGGTTGTGCATTCTCAACTCATGGACTAGAGAGGAGCAAAGGTCGAATAGCCTGAAAATGTGTAAGGACAAAAATACATTTTATAACAAACAAAGTGACAAAACACGCCCAAAAGAGTGTAAACACGTACAACACCCTTGTGTTAATATAAATACATATATTTACATATACTTCTATGAGATCAATGTATATAAGTATTTAGCAACTTTTGGTAACCTCAAAAAAAAAAGAAAAAAAGACAACAAATAGTGCAAAATGTAACAATATTTGTAATATTTTATATAAAGTGTATAGAGGGCCAACTCACATTTTATTGAGCTTCTAAGAGCTCTGATGTAGATCGCCTGGACGGTACAATCCCCATCCATGGATATATGGAGCACTGTTGTACTTGCTGTTTTTATATATATATATATATATATATATATAGATATAGATATAGATATAGAGAGAGAGAGAGAGAGAGAGAGAGAGAGAGAAAAAAAATAAATAAAATAAAATAAATAAATAAAATAAAAAATATCCAGAGCAATGACTTGCGTTGGTGGTATTATCCCCACCTGGGATATGCAGGATGAACCAGGAAATACGATGACAGGTATGAGATGTTAAAATAATAAAAATGAACTCAAATAAAAACGAAAATACTTTATTAATATATAGTAAACAGGTTTAATATGTATATATAAAGCAATTGTAATAAGTTGAAATCTTCCAGTACCACACTTAACGCGTTTCACTTGGCTGGGTTTCCTCAGAACTGTGGATAATCCTGTCCTGTTCTGGTTTATATAGGCTGTATATCGGTAATCAGTATGATCCGGTGTGTTTAATGGATTTCCTGGTTGTGCGCGTCACCCGGAAGTGACGCATCGCAATCATTACCTTGCATAGGTTCATGGTGTATGTAGTCTTGCATCTGCAGGTATACAAAGAAGTATTTCATGGGGTTGTAGCGTCTGTCCATCTTTGTGTAGCCCTGCCCTTTGTACCATGTCAGCAGATAGTGACGTATTGGCAGCTCATTACAAATATATCAAAAAGTCCCAAGAGCTCCATCAGACATATTGAATGAGGGCAAAGTGTGGGAAATAAGACGGTGCATTAGTATAAATGGACTAACTGGATTTAAAATACCAATTGATATTAAACAATCCTTAATAGGGTCCATAAAGACATAAAGAGTAACAATCATTAAACATTACGTATGACAGTGAACATTATTTTAAAAAAAGAGAGAGGTAACCTGAACCCATTTTAAAAGGGGAGATAGTCTGAGCATATTTAAAAATATACCAATTGGATAAAACTACTAGTGGAGGTGAATGAGCCAAGGAGAGGTATAGATATATAAGAGAGGGATAATATATATATATATATGTAAATATACTAAATTAAATAAAAAGGTTGAATGCCAAAACCCATAAAGATAGTAAGGATTACAAGAAATTAAACAAATCAAAATCGGCATTCAGACCATACATTTGGTACACAAAGACCATCACAGACCACCCAAACAAAGTGTCACTAATTCAATGCAGAATTATTGGCATGTGTAAGGGAGATGGAGCAAAGAAAGGCTATAAATAACTGGTCATAACCCATTTGTGGCAAATGTGAAAAGTACTGTCGGTTGTAGACCAAATTATTCCACATGAGCAAAGTCAAGATTAAAGGAACACTAAAGGGTCAGGAATATAAACATGTATTCCTGACCCTATAGTGTTAAAAACACCATCTAGCCCCCCTGGCACTCTTATATCCTACCTTTATTCCAGTCTGCAGGCGCTGGCTCCACCCCGATCTGTCTCCTTGGCTGACATCATCAGCAGTGGTGATCTCAGCCAATCACAAAGATCACAAGGAGGTGTGGGGGTGGAGCCAAACGCCACCCTGGCCAGTCAGCATCTCGTCATAGTGATGCATTTAATCAATGCATGTCTACGCAGAAAGTTCAGTATCTCCATGCCGAGAGTGGAGATGCTGAACGTCAGTGTTGCACACTGTGCACCACCTCCCCAGGAAGCATCTCCAGGTACCATCTGAGGAGTGGCCACTGAAGGTGTCCTTAGGCTGTAATGTAAACAGTCTTTTTGCTAGCAAAATGCCTGCAGGGACAAACTATACTCACCAAAACAACCACATTATGCTATAGTTATTATGGTGACTACAGTGTCCCTTTAAAGAAGGAGGAGCCGAGTACCTGCACACCCCCCTTGATAGTACATAGCGACACTAACCTGTGTACCATCAAACTTGGAAATAAATGTTTGTACGCAAAGTTTGTTCAGCCTTCTAATAGTTCCCGTTTAAGATGTGCTAGTACAACAGAAAAATGAAGCTGTTGAATAATCTGTGTCAAAGTCATATCTAGATCACAAAGTATGTTAATGATGATATATTTTTATCTATCATGATTCAGTTAGGCCAGAAAGCAGGTGCCAATAACTCTTAACCCCTTAAGGAGAAAATTGCTTATATGAATAAATGTTATTAGTTTATCAGTAAGCCAGGGGGCCATCACAGTTACATTAGGCTTTGGAAACTCTGCCCATGCTATCGGCAATGGGGGCTAAAATTGCTGCAGCTTTCAATTTTGTAAAGTGAATCTAAACAAACATCTCTGTCCTTGTCTGGAAACAAGCAAAGCAATAATGTTTGTTAAATATTGCTTTTCTTTTTAATGCATTTTAAGAAGGAAAACCATTATCCAAAGAGGTAGGCACCGTGCCAAATAAAGTGATATATGTCATTACACAAGGGTATTCATAGCTGTAATTTTATTTTGAAATTCACAACGTTAGGGAACTTGGCATGTAGCGAGGCAGAGAAGCTACACTGAAAATTAAATGTCTGAATCCAGTGCTAGCTTGAATTCCCTTTTTAATAGAACAACAAACAAGGGTGGAAAAAGATGTAACTTCCTGGTGATTGGTGGGAAAGCTCCCATCACAGTCATCGAATAATGCCCGATGGCAATTGCAATCCAACCACCCACTGGCAACAGTCTCTAGCAAACCACCCGCTGTCCAGGTGTTTTAGGGTAAATTACATTACATTAGCGTTAACAAAAATACAGTCTTTTACGCCAACTCTCCTACTGACATTACCCACTCTAGGCATATATATAATATGTATGCAAAGTATACACAGAATACAAATACAGTTGGATATGATACACATAGAAAGTATATAAAAAGTTCAAGAGTTTAACAAACACACTGTTTAAATTATATTAGCCCAAACCTTTTTGTAATTAGCATCGAACAGACAAGTAATTTTGTGTATCCTGTATTATAGGCCTACAATGATAATGGTGATTCCCATTGGAAATCACTGCACTATCTAGCACTTGGTGTATTTATTAAATGTACCAACTTGGAAAAAAATGAATATATTGTAAAAGCAACTGTAATTGTTAAATTAAGTCCCCATTATAATACTAGAAAAATTATGTGGTTTTATTTTATTCTTTTGCCTGTGTGTCAGTGGTAATATAAATTTCTTATATATATAACTATTAATTGGAGATGAACGGAGTTTACTTCTTCTAACAAAGATTGCCTATTGGCATGGGGTGATCACCTATTAGGATTTTCTATCGGAATAATTTGTCAAATTAATGATCACACCATAAACAGATCACCTACCTAAAGATTTTGAGATGCAGTGACCTCATCTTTTTACGATCTCCTACTAATTATCAATTACTATTAATAATTTAAGGCAAAGTAATTTTTTCGGTCACCTAAAAAAAAATGTTCTTCCAAGGTGATTTGAAAGGAGATCACCTACTCTAGCTATTACAAGGAGAGCATTAAAAGGTAAAAATCACCCCTTCCTATTAGGTCAGGTCACCTGAAGTGATGACGTTTTGTAAAGATCAATTAGTTAAAGAGTCACCATATGTAGCAGAGAGTTGCCCGGCTGTAGGCCACGAGGGATACACATTCAATGTTAACCGAAAACACCAAATTGTTCCAGGGGACTCCAAGTCGCCATAACTAATCAAAAGAAGTGGTGATGGTGCCTAGTGTCCCTTTAAGTGCTTTCAACTGGTTAATAAAGATCACCAAGTAAAATGGTTTGAGATGAAGCCACTCATTTTACAGATCCACTAAAGCAATCTGGGGTGAGATCAGCAGAAATGATGGAAAAAATGAAATAACAGAAAAATCACTGCTCAAAGTGCATGTCAATATAAGATTAAACTGAAGCCTTTTAAGACTGTCATCTGTCAGGCAGCGGAGTGCTAAGCAGAAACAGAAAAATGCCGTAGTTTAAAAGCAGTTTTTTTAGGTATACTTAAAATAACAATTACTGTACTAAATGCTTTAAGCCCTTTTTTTTTTAACTCATTACTGCAATTTACTTGTGAACGGTCACTGTGACAAACTGCATTAAATAGTTAGTACGCCTTTATATGCTTCATTGACTGCATAACAACATACTTCAGTTGCATGTATTGTCGAGTCTTTTCAGTGACACACAAAAGTTGCTAAATAATTTCTACACTTTCAGCTGGAGTCACAAACAAAGCGCACTACAAAGGGTTTCACTGTGGCAAATGCAAACAGCCAGTCAATTACATACTTTGCCTCTGTCTAGTAACTTTCTATATGTAACCATAATATATCATAATAGTAGATGTAAAAAGGATAACATTGATTGGATTTCTATGATTTCTATGGCAACAGCAAACTGCGCCGTTAAGTATTTTACTTTCAAATCTCACAGCATACTTCAGTAAAATTATTTCCACATTTTAGGTCAAAATCTGAATTAAAAATATTCTCCAAGTCAGTTTTGGTTCCAATTTGGCTATTTCGGCCCAAAACATGAAAGTCACTCAGCAATTCAGTCTTTAGTGAATAACATGAATAGTGTTATTTGCAATGAATATATTCATAATCCAATCAAGCAAACAGGACCTGATTCAACTGTACAGAGCAGGGGTGCCCAAAAGAGAGATCCCAGATGTTGAAAAACTGCATCTTCCATGATACTTTGTCATTCTAAAAGGCAGGCAAAGCATCATGGGAGTTGTAGTTCAACATCTGGGGATCTACATTTTGGACACCCCTTATATAGAGAGACATCTCGTTTATGCATTTCACCAACGAAATTGCAAGCAAATGTATAGATTAAATAATACTTTTATGTCACGTTTTTAACATACATCGATATGACTACTTTAGAGCGGAGTGGAAGCACACCAGCTGAATTAAGAAACGGTAATAATTGCACGTGAGAATTCTATATAGCGAGTTCACGAGGAAGCTGGAAAACGTCAGGATTTGATTTAGCTATTTATTTAGTTAACAAAAATGTAAGCCAGAAAAAAGACGAACTGAACCAAGTACCAGCTTTGCTAGTTTGGCAAACTTTTTGCAAGTAAGTCGTCAGCTCACATAAATATGACGTTTGGTAAATATACATTTGCCCAAAAAAAAAAAAAAAAAGATTAAAATGTCCTAATTAAATCTGACCTTAATCTGCACGTTTGATCTTTTAAAGCAAAAAAACATGAATAATGTTGTTGGTTTTTTAAAATTAACTCTTCATTTGCTGTGTTCTGGAGCAGTACCTGCAGCATGCCCTGTTTGGTATTCTCACACTAAAAGGTTTGCTGTGAATTCTGAAAGTCAGAACATTTTGCTTTTATATAAAGAAGAGACTGATAATCAATCTTGCTGGCACATCCTACTGCTGACATTATAGGATTTTTGCTGCTCCCTAATGATTACAATGATGGCCGTAGTAAAAGCTTGCACTTACCGTATAAAGTTTGAAAAATAACTTACCAATACATTCTACTCTAGCTTGTACCATCTTAATTCACATCGAGATTTGAGAATGTATTCTCTAAACAGCAATATGTAACAGCCTGACATCGGAAAGTGGCAAAGTTTAAGAAAAAATTAAAAGTTGTGGGAGAAACACCCCAACGAAATTTCACAACTCTGCTTATTGTCACAGAAACCCGGAGACTGCGTTGTGACCCTTAGAAAAGCATACTGGCTAGTGAATGAACTAAATGAAAAAAACCTTCATTTTTTTGTAACTTATTGAGGCGTGGAGACTTTCAGTCAATGAGCATTTTTCGTTGACAAATGTTGTAATGTGTATTAACAAGTCAGCGAGGAGATAAAAATGATAGTCCAAACAGTCACACATGAGTTATGATCGTAACGTTATTGCTTCTGCCCGTTCCTAATGACGAAAAAGGAAAAAATAAAGGGCAGTGACTATGTACAAGACAGAGTTAGGAGTGCAGAAGCCTTTGTGCGTTACTTAAGTAACAAGTCTTATAACAGCATCAGTTAATGTAAGTGCACATGGAGCGGAGATGTTAAGGTGCCTGGAGAAGGGAGTTTGGTGTAAAAGTCAACTGGTCAAGGTGACAGACTTTGCGAGGTTGTAGTATCCTCTGTGGGCAGGATTTCAATACTGCTGTCAGGCTGGCTGGGCGACACGCTGTCAGTGAGATCCAGTTCGTGGACCTGGCTTGGTGAGAGGGGCTGGGGAGGGCTGGCTGTGTCTGTGCTGGGGGCTGGACTCTTGATTTCTACCAGGCCAAGAAGCTCTTTAACATTAAGAGGTAATTCCTGTGAGTGAGAAAAAAAAAATAATGGGAAAAAAACAAACACAATGAAAATATGCATTCATAATCTCTCTGTGTATTTACAACCCAAATAAAAGAGGTCTACGAACTAGTGAATGTTCTCGTTTCGGTCAACTTAGTGATGTTTTGGCCTTTGTTTATTACTCTGCTGGTAGTGATGTCCCGAACGGTTCGCCACGGACGGCGAACATATGCGATGTTCGGTCCGCCCCCTATGTCATCAAAGTAAACTTTGACCCTGTACCTCACAGTCAGCAGACACATTCCAGCCAATCAGCAGCAGACCCTCCCTCCCACCTCCTGGACAGCATCCATTTTACATTCATTGTGAAGCTGCATTCTTAGTGAGCTGTCCAAGAGGTGGGAGGGTCTGGCAGGGAGGGTCTGCTGCTGCTGATTGGCTGGAATGTGTCTGCTGACTGTGAGGTACAGGGTCAAAGTTTACCCAATGATGACATAGGGGGCGGACCGAACAGCGCATATGTTCGCCGTCCGCGGCGAACCGTTCGGGACATCACTACCTGCTGGCAATTAATTATAAGCCATACAGTTATTCACTAAAGTGTGAACATATGGGGAATTCAAAGAGAATCCAACTGCATTTTACGTTTTAGAAAACAGCTGAAATTATAGCATAGCAAACTTGTAAGAACTTTCCATTTCAGTTTTTGTGGCCTAAAATATAAAAATACATCCTATCATGGTTATGGGAAAAAACCTTTTGTAGACATTTTCCTCTAGATCTTCATATAAACAAAAAACAGCCAATAACTCGGGAATATTAGGAGAGCAAGAGAATATGCTGCCCTCGGATTGATTAGCTAGCCAAACACTGAGTTGTCAATCTATGTTTCGATTGCACTGGATTTCAGTGGGTGACCCAGTCCCTGCACTGCATTTTCCATTGCTGTGCCCTTGAATATCAGAACTCATTCATTTTCTTACTAAGAAGCTTAAAATGTGTCTGCAAGTGAGCTGGTGTAGCTAAGCGGGGAGTACCATGCACAAAACAGAACAGAAATAGCAGAGCAGAAGACTTGGAATTATTGGCAAAAGGAAAGAAAATCTAAATTTGCTTTATTTCCCAATATTATTGATTTAGTAAGAAAAGTAATGGATGAACCCGTAGTTTAATAAGGTAGTGGGAGGAACCATTTATTCAGGATTTTTTGGGGATTCCATCACTGCTCAGTCTGCACTTACTGTCAATCCTGGGGAGGAGAGATGGCAGCCCTTGGTGATCCGGTGGGGATAATGGATTTACTGTGGCCAGCATAAATTCTACTACTTGTTTTCTGCATATACTCACTATTAGAAACCAGCAGAAAATATAACAATATGAAACCAAGGGAAGGCTCCATATGAACCCTGTCCTTAACAACCAAAAGATAGCAAGGTGTTACAGAGACACCTAGGCCCAAAACTGAGCTCATCTTTCCTCTTTTGAAAACCAACCCTCCAGTGTTGCTCCATAGTCATTAACCTAACTCTGCAATCTTCCTGCCTTGGTTATGACTCTGGTCTCACTCCCCACATTCATTCAGTCTTTCACCTCAACCATAATACTCATAAGCTTCCCTTTCTAACTTTGATTGAACTAAAGCACATGTCCATGCGCTACATTCCCTGTCTCAATAACTGCACATGACTCACTATGGTCTCCCAGAATCCACAATGTCTGATTACAATATACAACTAATGCTGCTACCAGATTTAACTTCCCTTAGTGCTGATAATCTCACATCTCTCCGCTTCCTGTACCATTTATTGTGCAATTTAATATGCTGCCACTAACCTATAAAGCTTCCAGCAACTCTTCCCCTCATTACGTTTCTTCTCTTACTCACAAGTACTCAGAACTTCTCAATGACAGCTTCATTGCCATGGAATGCTTAGCTCATTTTATCATACCTTCCCCTAGTCAAGCTTCCAACAACTCTACCCCTCATTACATTTCTTCTCTTACTCTCAAGTGCTCAGGACTTCTCAATGACAGCATCATTCTATCATACCTTCCCCTAGTCAATAGTGTTTTAAGAATTCCTTCAACATTCTGTCCTCCCCTATTAAAAGCTGTTCTTTGTCTACTGTTCTTATACTTCTCAACTTTTAGAACAAACTCATCAGAGCATGGACCTCTTTATTTGTTTCTCAATTATTTGCTGGTTTTATATGGTCATTGCAAAGCACTGTGGGATATATTGGCACTATATCTGATAATAACGATAATAATAATAACGCATTAACTCAGATCCAGTCACGATCCTAACCTAAACTAAATAGCAGGAGTCAGTCGCTGCATTAACTTAATTCCAATCCCACTAACCAATCATTGCATCCACACACAATCCTGCTGGCTGATCACTGCGTAACTCAAAATTCATCCCCATTGGTCAGTCACTCAGTTAACTGAGAACCAAGTCAAGTGCTCAGTCACTCAATTAACAAAAATGCAAATCTAGAGCTGGCTTTCTTTTACAGAGGTCAAACATTTTATTAACTCATTTACTACAATACCCCAGATCAACCTTACAGTGATGTCACTAACCTAAATTAAATCCTTTCCAGATGATCAGTCACTATGCTAGCCAAATCCTTCTTACGTGGTCTGTCACCACACTAGCCAAAATTCTTTCTATTTCACCAGTCACCACATTAGCAAAAATAATGTTCATATGGCCAGTCAATACACAAACACAAATAGTTCCCCGGTGGTCATTACATTTACGCAAATACTTTTCAGATTGGCAGCCTTTACACTAAGTTAAATCATTTCTAAATAATCAGTCACTAAACCAAATACAACCTCAAGGGTCAGGTGCACACTTTAAATGCTTCTGTCACCCACTGAAATCCAGTGCATGTTTTTTTTAATTATATATTTCACGGTATTAAAATCTCTTACTTTAAGCTCTTTATTCAGAATGCTAAATCTATGAACGAAGGAGCAAACAATACCGGCCCAGGGGCAGTTGGCGAAATGTCAGAAGATGGACAGGTCACAGACTCCTAACAGTTCTGCGGCACAAGCAGCAGTAACCTCGGTGCTCACCTGACAGTGTGCCAACTGCTGATGCAGCGCTTCAGCCCGACACAGAATGTCCTCCACGCTCATCTTCATGGTCAGCTCGTTAATGTGCTGAACAGAAACAAAAAGACAGATAAATAAAGGTCTGGAGGATCACAAGGAGGGCAAAAGAAATGTTGGAGTGAGAAAAAAAAAAAGAACAAACAAGAAGAAACAATAATAGTATTATGTAAATTTGCATTTGTGATTTTATATATTTTTATGTATATTTTTATTTAATCAAATTCTTCTGTTCACAAAGGTCTACTGCATTGAACATTACAGCAATATGGTCTAATCTGCATTTGAAGACAGAACTGTAGATATGTGCTATAACAGGAAGTCATGGTCAAGAGACCATGAGAGGCAGTATAATATAAAAAAAAATAAAGAATCTCTCGACATTGCTAAAGCAAGATCTACAGTGGCAGCAGCCCTCTCAATAGACACTTTAGAATTACTTTTAGAAATAGCTAGACTTCTTACATTGAAATATCTAAGCATTGTGTGCACACAATACAAAACTACATGCATTTTTCTTTTTTTTTCACCATTATTTTGCTGCAAACAACTTTTGCTCCCAATAAAGCTTTTTACATCTTAATTCAATTGTTTCTGATACGATGAGCTTAACGTCAATAGATCTAAAGTTAAATGGAAATGTCTCTTTAGCTGATGGAGATCTTGACTAACTTAGCACTAAACAACATAAATATTAACCATAAGCTATTGCGGACAGTAAAATGATAGCACAAGACAGCCTAACATACCTTAAGGATCTCATTGAAGCCATAGTCAGAATGCATGAGTGCTTCCCTTTCTAGATCCAGAATCCCACAGCCAATGAGGAGGTGAAAGTTCGGGCATGGAAGACCAGTCCAAAGAACCTTAATTGTGGAGAAAAAAAAGGATATCAATGCATGTGCTTACACTACGGGATTCCAATCACAGACTACTGGCTTCTCCTTTAAGATCTGTGTAGGTTTTCACATAAGAACATCTGATATGTGGGAGTCTGGAATCTTTTCAATACAAAAGAGATATGTAGAACCCAGGGCGGATTAACTATATCTGTGTTAAGCATTATACTGCGTGCCATGAGATTATTCTGCATAATACATGTCTTAACAGCACAGCAAAGTAAAATTTTAAAAATTAATCATTTTCACTTTGTTGTTAATTTGTTGCTAATTTCTACAATTTCCCGCTCTCAGCCGGTAATTTATGTAAAACAATATCCCTGGGAGAAAATAACAGATAATTCAATGTTTGCAAATACAGGAGGTTACGTGAAGCTAGATTTTCATGATGCCTGTAAGTGTCAAACTCCAGTTCCTATAGTTTCTCATTTGCCCTCAGGCAGCTGAAAATGATGCAACATTGCGTCAGGAAAGAGAGCACGTTACCAGGGAAACACATAAGATTTTTTTGTTTTGTTTTTTTTGGAGTCAACTGATAATGACGTATTGTTATTTTCTGCAGGATTACTTTGCCAAGATGTTATTTAAAGAGGAAGCATTACTTTCCAGGATTTTAAGTAGTATGTTTCTCAGCCCTTACATTTAACAAATGTTTTATGCAATATGAAAAATGAAAATAAATGCAGAAATGCACATTACTGTTTTACATCTATCCTGGAATAGAGTTTCCATCTTGGCTCCCTAGTAATCATTGGTATAAGCTATTCACTTTGCACCTGTTTGGCAACATAGAGAGAGCATAGAAAAAGGAGAAGGGGGCGTTGCCAACTGAGCACCAGCATTTACCCCACTGTAAAGTCGACTTTATCCAGTTCACAGGCTCCAAACAGACCGACAATCTATACCGTCCCCCAGAAGACACTATGGGCTACAAGCATAAGAAGTCTCGCCACCCTGAGAGCTCCAGATTGCCTGATATCAGGCTTTCCTTTCAAGAGGCCCACGCTATAGATACCTCCCAAAATAGCAACCAAGGCACGCAGAGATGTGGGGGCCTCTGAGTAGTCACAAGAAGACAAGGAGTCACTCGTCTCATCTCGACCAGGGTGAGTTCATCAAGAGTCCAACTCAGGATTCTTCTCTCTCTACAAAGGGTGATATAAAACAACTGATGTTTGATTTAAAGAAGGTTTGGAAGACCGAACTCCTGGAGACCCAGAAAAAAGTGAATGTCACCCACCAGAAAGAGGAGCAGAAACAACTGGGATCATGTATAACCAAAAACGTGACGGCTACTTAAATATCACTGAAAACCCCACAACTCAGACAGTGGCAATAAAACTGGTCAGAAAGTAGAGTCACGCATTTGTGCCTCTTTTAATACAATATGAGAGTTGGTTGTGGATTCTTTTGTAGCCTGTACAAATATATAAATTACTTCTGGATCCAGGCCTATATCCATCAGGATCTGGCATTCAGAAGCCAGGCAGTGAGAAAAAACATTTGTAGAGTGTCAACGGGAACCAGGTCGTATTCCAGAATATACCCCTGAACTGGTAGAATCCAGATATTCCAGACAGGTTTATGAGAGTTGAGAACCAAGTCCTTGTTGGCCAGTAAGGTAGGATTAACATATTCAGTGATTTGTCTTTCTTGATTTTCTGCAACATTTTTTAAATTAGTGGCAATACTGGAAATATGTAGGCTATATGGAAATTCCAAGACATGGAGAGGTTTTGCATTTTCTGTTTTGCCTGATAGCTATCAGGTCTATTGAAAGAGTTCCAAACCTTATTAGATTAAAAATTCATGAAGAAAGGGACCAATCTGGTCTTAGATCTCTGTTGACTGCATCTGCCAAGGTATTTGTCATTCTTCTGATGAACACTGCTGAATTAGAATTCAGATAATTTTCTGCCTAATACATTATTTGAGAACATAGAAGAGCAAAGGAGGGGCACGGGTGCAGCAGTTGTTGTTTAGGTAGTCTACTGCGACTATGTTGTCCGATCTTATTAGCACGTCTTTCTTTCAAATTAGGTTTCCAAAACTCCTGAGAGCCAGAAGAACAGCCTTTAACTCTCTGAAACTTGAGAATTTCCTTCTGTCTTGCGTTTTCCATATACCTCAGCTCTATGATCCATATGGGTGCCCCATCTGGACATTGAAGCATCCATCGCAACTATTTTCCATTCTTTTAGTTTAAAAGACAGACCTTCAGACATGAAAGGAATCTTGATCCACCAACTGAAAGTCTTGATAGTCAACTCCCAAATGTTATTTAGTGAAGAATCAGAATTCCACTCTGTCAGAATATTGGTTTGCAAGGACCTCATTCTGGCTTTTGCCCACTTGACCGCTGGGATTGTTGAAGTCAATAGGCCAAGTGCCCTCATTGCCCCTCTTACACTTCAATTCTTTCTGGACAGAGACTTGAGAATCTGGATCAGTTTTTTATTTTTCCAATGGAAGAATTATCTTCATGAGTGTAGAATCTACGAATAACCCCAGGAATTGGATTCTTTTGACAGGATTCAACTGAGATTTGTCCCAATTCAGGATCTATCCATGTTCTTTGAGGCATTCAATTGTAGTGTTGATATCTCGTAGAAGCCTGTCTCTAAAGGGTGCTAGTATTATCCAGTCATCTAAATAAGGAATGAGGGTTTCCTTAAGTGTGAGGCAAGTAGACCCAAAATTTTAGTAAATACTCTTGTAGCCAAAGTGACGCCAAATGGCAAAGCTCGTACAATACAAAAGCAGAGAAACTTTCTGCATGGAGAAAAAATTGGTATGTGTAGGTAGGCATCTTACAAATCCAGTGATGTCATTCAATCTCCTGGGTTTAGTATTTGTCCACATGAAAATACTTTTTATTTTATTTTATTTTTTATCTAAAAGTTGGTCTGAAAGAATTGTATGTTTTGTTTATTTAACCAGAAAAATAGCTTTGTGCTGCTCCCACAGAAAACACTTTTCTTAGGTTGTTTTTTTTCCTTAAAACTTGAAAACTTGCCACATAACATATAGTTAGTGTGGTCTTCTTACCTAATTGGGCTATAGGCAGATCAAAATTAGGTAAATTCTCCAATGACCTTGTCTTTTTCTTTGACAGTGAAGACTGTTTAAAATGGTTCGTTATAAATGGACACTTGGGCATACATTTATTAAAATTAGGATGAAATGGAAAATATCTACTTATGTGCTTCCTTTGAGAATCTCCTTGATATTACATAATGCTTGAAAATATGAACGTTTTCTTCTGGGAAAACTAAAGATTCATCCAACGAGTCAAAGGACTCAAAAGAAGAGCTGTGTGAACCATCAGAGATAGACTTTTAAATCTAAAAAGGTCTGTTGAAGATTAGATTAAAATCAGCTAAAAAATGATGACAGATGTTTAGTCTTGGCAAGGGTCTAGCCTTTTTTTCCCACTAGTTTATCACTTGTTTCAGAATTGGGCATACAGAAATTAAATAAAACCAAGGCATAAGGAACTGAGTAAGTATCATAAAAGGACACTATAGGCACCCAGACCACTTCAACTCATTGTTTTAGAGAAACTGCAATAATTACATTGCAGAACTAAGACTGCCTCTAGTGGCTGTCAATCAGACAGCTAGGCAACTTTTGGTCGCCTGACGCTGGACGTCCTCACGCTATGCATGAGAAAATCCAGCACCAGTTGTATTTCCTATAAGGAGGGCCTAATGCACTCACCACGCATGCACATGAAGGCCCCCCACTCCAACCGAGCACCAGGCAAGATCAGCGCTGGAATTGGGTGAGTACAGTAAAGGTTTAACCATTTCAATGTTTGTATCCTTTACACTACAGAATCCCTTTAGGTAAATAAAAATAGAAAATGTTCCTGCTTAATAGGCCTCATAGTGTCCTGGAGGGCAGGTGAGAGCACATCAACAACATTCTGAATGAGCACCCAGCTGTCAGAAGCTGTGGATGGATTAAAATAGTGGCATTTAAGGTTTCTCAATCAAAATTTTGGTGCCAAGCACTCAGGTCACTTTGCACATTGTAATCTGCAGTGGAACGCAACATCACCCAGATGTACATTCCACTCGGGAATACCTCCCAGCCGCACGCCAACACTAGCGTGCTTTCATAATTTCCTACGCCCGGCTATGATAGATGGTATTATAAAAAGGATGCACTCACCCAGCAAACATCTTATAAGCAGAGAGATCAACCTCAACAAGTCTGACAAGACAACAAGAAGACCTAAATGGAGCCCTCCAGGAGCCTCAGACCCCCTCACTCCGTGCTGTTCAGTGATGGGACTACCCACAGGCAGAAAACTTGGGAACTAGAGGTAATCAGGAGCTTTATGGGCAGATGAGAGGGATTTCATTTTTTATTTACCTCCAAAATAGATGGTCTGTCCTGGGCAAGATGGCTAAATATCCCTAAGGTCTATACTGCCTCTAACCACAGGGAGGAAAAATGATATTTAAAACTAGGATCAGGGGTACAATTATGGTTACTCCAATTATGATTCTAACCTGAAACCAACTCTAGCTCTCACAAATATTTTTTCATATTCCTAGCCCTAAATATCTTTTTATATTAATTTTTGCTAAATTACTTTCCCCAAACTTAATGGACAGCCTAAGTCTAACTCTGCTTCTCCTTGGTCTCACAAAAGGGCAGGAGGAAGGTCTGTAACATGGGCAGACTCGCAGTGGCTCGGTCATTTTCAACATCTTGGCATATTTTAGATGTCAAAAGGTGATATTCCCATTTGATGTGTAGAGAAGCTAAAATATATATTTACCTGAAACTCTCCCTCACCGGCACCACCTTCTTTCTTTTGAAGAATTAACCAATTCTTGGTATTTAATCCGCTAGGAGCTCTGTTACCCTTGAGCTCTCTCACTTTTGTAAGAGTACAACAGAAGATCCCAATAGACTGCCATGTCCTCTATAGAAATTGGTGTGTCTTTTACCATAGCCATCACTATCAATAGCAAATAGAAATGACAAAGCTGACGGCTGAAGTTCTGCCTTTTGTCATGTATTGCCAAAATTAATATTTTCTAAAGATATGGTTTACACTGATAGCAAAAAAAATAAAATAAAAATAATGCTCTGACCTCCCAAAGAAGAAGGATGTCTTGGAATGCAAATTCACGTTTAAACCAGATAAGAAGCCATCGAAAGCAGCAGCTTAAATTGCCTGATTCCTTGGAATCTGATTAAAAAAAAACAAACAAAAAAAAATTAGATTTACATCCATACCTCAATTCTTTGTATACACTTTGCTCATCATTTTTAAAAAAACTTGCCAATAAAACACAAGATTATCGTATCCGATTATATTTTCAGATATATTATTATTCTATGTATTAGGATATTATTATAATTATTATCTGACTTATAGAAGTTGCTTATCACTGTCCATTAAAACAAGAATAAACAAACAATATAATAGTTTTGCTATAATGTGACATTTGTATCCATTGCAATGAAAAATAAATGCACATCTTACATTTCAGAATAGCAAAAAAAAAATAAAAAAAAAAATACCAGGATAAGGGTGCTCACGTGTAACAACAGTTTGCAGTAGTGAAGGGTTAAATAAATAAAAGAATACACTGTATGAATTTAAATTTGTCAATGTACTGATAGGCATGAACAACCAGTCATATATTTGTCCTTTTTCAAAACAGCAACTCCTGTTAGACACACCTAAGAGAAGGGATAACAGCTGCATAAAAACAGACAGGTGTCATTTGCTAAACTCCAAATGGCTCCACACCGAACAGGGCAAAAACATTTTGTTATGTATGGGGCCATGCCGACTACAATAGACATTGTTCACAGTATTTAACAAAGAATTATGTCAGGATTTCCACAGGACCGAATACTGCTGGATAGCTGAAATATGGACCCACATGCTAAAAATCAAGGTCCAGATTTTAAATTTCCGACTATTTATCAGCTGAACATGCTAACTGCTATCTGATTAAAAACTTGGGTTTGTCGTATATACAAATTAAAGTATTTACCTACTGAAATAAGCCATGTAATGTTTTCTTTTTCTGTTGCTGATTCGAGTAGTTATGGAGAGATTGGCCCCAGGGCCGGATTAACATAGGGGATGATGGAGCTGCAGCTCCAGGCCCATACAATAGTTCCATTGATTTAAAAAAAAAAAAAAAAATATATATATATATATATATATATATATATATATATATATATATTTTTTACCAAACTACTCTTAGGGTTGCCACCTAGCCAGTATTTATTTGAGGTTGCCTGAAGGGTGCCGATATTGCAGTAATACCGGCAATACAAACAGAAATTACTCTGCAATACCAGCCAACCAGCCAGTCGCTGTGTGTGTGGAGAGAGGCAGGGATAGGAAGTTACAGCATATACCTGCATCTCTCTACTCACTGATCCACGGGGGAGCAGCTAACAGCACAGAGAATCCAGACAGCAGCTCCCAGCCTGCAGAGACAGCCTACACCTCAGAAAAATGAGGGATGGGGTAAAGGCTGCAGGGAGACATAGAGACACTGAGACACTAGGGGACAATGTGAGACTTGGGGACACAGGGAGATCTCTGGGGACACAGACACACATAGGGACACTTGAGGATACTAAAACATGGGAACGCTGGGAGACATGGGGAAACAGATACTTGGGAAAACAGACACACATGGGGACACTTAGGGACACTGAGGTATGGGGACACAGACACTAGGGGACGCTGGGAGAAATGGAGACAGACACATGGGACACAGACATGGGGAAACAGACACACATGGGGACACTGGGAGACATGGGGACACAGACACTAGGGGCACAATGTTCCCAAGTGTCTCAGTGTCCCCATGTCTCCCAGCCAGTGTTCCTGGTGTCTGTGTGCCCATGTCTCCTAGTGTCTCAGTGTCCTCATGACTCTCAGAGACCCCATGACTTTCAGTGTCCCCTAGTGACATGGGGGCACAGACACTGGGGGACACTGGGCAACATGGGGACACAGAGACATGGGGCACTGATTCACAGTGTCCCCATGACACTGTGATACATAGGGACACTGTGATACATACTCTCAGTGTCCCTAAGTCTCCCAGTGTCCCCAAGTGTCTCACAGTCTTCAGAGGTTATGTTCAACCAATTTCAGAGAAACAGGAAGAACAAGAGCTGAAGAATCAGTGTGTAAGGGTGTAAATGTATTAGTGTACTCTCCTCTTCTCCCCCCCCCCTTTCCATTAGTGAACTCTCCTCTTGCCCCTCCCCTTTAGTGGTCTCTGCTCTCCTCTGCCCCCCTCCCATTAGTTGTCTCTCCTCTCCCCTTTGCATTAGTGGTCTCTCCCCTCCTCCCCCCAATGGTCTCTCCTCTTCCCCTTGTGGTCTCCCCTCACCCTTAGTGGACTTTCTCTCCTCTGCCCCCTTAGTGACCTCCTCTCCCCCACCCTCCCCTAGTGGTCTCTACTCGCCCCCCCATCCATACCCTTGTGGTCTCACCTCACTCCCCATCCATACCCTAGTGGTCTCTCCTCACCCATCCATACCCTAGTGGTCTCTCCTCCACCCGCCCATAGTGATCTCTTCTAAGCCCCCACCCTTCCCTTGGTTTCTTCTCACCGTCCTCCCATGGTGGTCTCACCCACATTCCCCCTCCCTCGATGGTCTCTCCCCCCCGCCTCTCCCTGGTCCCCCTTCTCTCTCCCTCCCTCAGTGGACTCTCCCCGTTAGTGGTCTCCCCTCCTTAGTGGTCTCTTCCCCTCAGTGGACTCCCTCCCCTCCCTGGTGGTCTCCTCCCCTTAGTGCTCTCTCCCCCTCCCTCAGTGGTCTCCCCTAGGTCTCTCTCCCCCTCCCTCAGTGGTCTCCCCGCAGTCTCTCCTCCTCAGTGGTCCCCAGTGTCTCTCCCCATTCCCCTCCCTCAGTGGTCTCTCCCCCATTGCCTCCCTCAGTGGTCTCTCCCCTCATTGGTCTCCCCACCCACCCCCATAGCACTGTTGTAGCGTGGCCGAGCTCCGGTCCGATCTGCAGTACAGGAGCTTCTGTTTCCTGTATCCGGCCGGACTGACAGGAAGTGCTCACACACTGTGACTGCCTATAGGAAACGCCGGCCCTGTGTGTGAAAGCAGCAGGAAGAGAGGAGAGAAACCACCAGAACGATTTAATGCAGCAGCTTTGGACAGGCAATCGACGAATGGATACGTTTTATTTACACAAAGCCAACATAAATTGTTGAGGACTTTTAAGGGAAGCAAGTCTGTGTTTCCCAAGCTGGTTCATGCAGGAGAGGTGTATCTCACAGCATGTACAACACCAACTGAAAACATGATTGTTTGTCTCTGCAGGAGACAAGGGGAATGGAAAGAAAACAAAATATCAGTTTTTAATAGTATTAAGGAAAGAAACACTTAATTGTTGCCAAACTAGAAAATGTCTCCAAGTCAGCTACGCATCAAGTTTTGGCTAATTTGTCCTCCGATTTTAGATTTATTTTGAGTTCACTTTGAAAACCCAACAATTCCCACTTTGGTGAATAACCCTTATTATGCTTCTGATTAGTGTGATTTAAGCTAAATCACTTTCGGAGCATGACAAAGATATGCTTTACCCAGGAAATCACAGAGCGCAGGATCCAGAACACGCAAAAGGAGGTTCAGCTGGGCTAACTGCTTCTTCATACTCTCCTGGCTTTCCTCAAAGTTGTGGTGCTGAAATGAAAATGAAATGCTTCTATGTTCTTAGATTTCTTATTGTTATTACTAACAGACATTTGAAATACAGCTTCAAGGATAATACATTAATTATATATATTTTTGCAACAATCTTAAAGGATCACTATAGTGTAAGGAAAACAAAGCGGTTTTCTGACACTACAGTGCCCTGAGGGTGCCCCCACCCTCAGGGTCCCCCTCCCGTGGCGGTGAAGGGGTTAAAACCCCTTCAGCAGCTTACCTTATTCCAGCGCTAGTCACCTCTCCTCGACTGCCGACGTCAGCGTAGCCGAATGCGCATGCGCGGCAAGTGCCGTGCGCATTCAAAGTGTCCATAGGAAAGCATTTCTCAATGCTTTCCTATGGACGCTCTGCGTGATGGAGGCGAAATGTGCCTCCAGTGTCTCAGATGTGCCTCTAGTGGCTGTCCGGAAGACAGCCACTAGAGGCTGGATTAACCCCAAATGTAAACATAGCAGTTTCTCTGAAACTGCTATGTTTGCATCTGAAGGGTTAAAACCTGAGGGACCTGGCACCCAGACCACTTTATTGAGCTGAAGTGGTCTGGGTGACTACAGTGTCCCTTTAAGCTATTACAATTATTAGTTACAGATTATATTATTTTAGAACTTGGGTTCAGTACACTCACCACCAGCTCCATAAATCCTGTGAAACACCAGAATGCATCTACCTCGTTCTGAATAACATACAGGATAGGAGATATCAGGTCACTCATTCCTTGCACGTAACCTAAAAGAGAAAAGCAGCCAGTAAGATTAGTAAATTAAAGTGTACAGGGGGAAAGATTCCAGAGTAAAAGAACAGTGGATAGCGATATTAGAAAGGAAGAAGAAGAAATAAAAAGAACAAAGACAGACTAATAGGAGATTTTTTAAAAAGGACAGTGATTAGAGAGATTAGATACTAATACAAGACAGTGGCTAGTCAGGATAGCATGGAACAGAGTATTGGGATTCCAGTCATATGTGCCACGTACCCAAATCAAAGTTAAACATACAGTAGGTCATTAACACATCGTTGAGAAGAACTAGCCCTGGATTGTCATTTCCTTCATAGAATTTGTTGTTACGATCAGTCCGGCTGACATCTCTTTCTGCAACAAACAGACGTGAAGCTTTAATGGAATAATTAATACAAACTGCAAACAATGCTAGAAAAGTCATTTAAAGGACCACTATAGGCACCCAGACCACTTCAGCTCAATGAAGTGGTCTGGGTGCCAGGTCCCTCTAGGGTTAACCCTGCCTGCTGTAAGCATAGCAGTTTCAGAGAAACTGCTATGTTTATAATAGGGTTAATCCAGCCTCTAGTGGCTGTCTCACTGACAGCCGCTAGAGGCACTTCCGTGATTCTCACTGTGAAAATCACAGTGAAAAGATGCTTTCCTATGGACTGACTGAATGCGCGTGCGGCTCTTGCCGCGCATGCGCATTCAGCCGATGACATCGGAAGGAGAAGGAGAGTCCCTAGCGCCGAGGAAGCCCGGCACTGGAGAAAGGTAAGTGATTTAACCCCTTCCTCCAACTTCAGCCCGGCGGGAGGAGGGCCACGAGGGTAGGGGCACTAGCAAGGAAAACTAGTTTGTTTTCCTGGCACTATAGTGGTCCTTTAAATATCCAAGAGGCTACATGAAGTATTAAATATGAAGTGGGAAGCACACAGTAAGAATCACTGTCTATATTACTGGATTAGCTGTAGTGGCTATGGTCCTTAGAGTGTCCTTTAAAGATCACCTGTCAGCAAAAATGACTTCACAGAGCACAACATTTCCCCAAAATATGGTGCTAGCAAAGGTATTAATAAAATGTTTTACTTTAAGATGTCCGCATTGTGGGCGTTCATTTCAGATGTGATGTGCTCACAGAAAGGTTTCCTTTGGAAGGGCTCAATTAAGGAAAAGGTCACCGTAAGACAGAACCAAGGGAGCAATATTTATGGGCTTATAGGTTTTTATCTATTCTAGGTACATGCTCCTTATTCAGTTGTCTAGTGTGTAGATTGCTTTAGGTTAATAATTTCAAGAATTTTCATCTAGCAGAATTTATAAACTCAAAATACAGCATCAAGTTGGCTCATCCCAGACGCAAAAAAAAATTTGAGAAAAAAAATTAGACAGGCCGGGATATATCCTGAAATCTTGGACGCCTTAAATTCAATTCTTCATATATTCAAAGCTTCCTCGTGGAAACTCGATAATAATGGTCACGGTTATTCACTAAAGTGAGAACTTAAAGTGAATTTCAAATTTTAGGCCAAAGCAGCCGAACTTTAAATATAGCTGGCTTACAGATTGTTTCCAATTTGGCTATTTTAGCCTTGAATTTGAAAGTCACATTGAAGCCACACTTAGGTAAATATCTGTGTGTTTTGCAACTTTTTTTCAAATCTGAATTATGATTACAAACCATGGTAGTTCAACCTGGCTCATCTCTGATATGTTCAGTAAACAGTGGGTTCATCAGTGTCTTTTTAAAGGGACTGTGGGTTTCCTGTGGCAGCCCCAAGATTAACTGAATCTAAAATGCATAGCCTGACAAATAATCCCTGTTATTACAAATCTTTGTACAACAGGTTATTTTTCAGAATGCTATCCCTTTAATGTCACAGCAAGTGTCTTTTTTTTTTTTTTTTTTTTTAAACCAACCTATGAGACTGCGGTAACCTCTCAGCAATGAGTTCCTCTTCTCCTGATCCTCCGTCACAGATTTCCACTGCAGCTTCATGCGGAAATACTCATCTCTGGTAACAGCGAGAGAAACATAGAGCCATGTGTTAAGCAGTATCCCATGGAGATGGCATTTAGCCCATGCTATCACTCTGTTTTGTTTAGCTGCAGTTTACAACTTGTCACATGTGTGGGAGAGGGAGAGTGTTAACTAGACTTTTACAAGCAAGGCAAGTAGCAGATTGGTTTGTGTTGTGTTGCAGGATCCTAAGGGACTGAAGTGGTTAATGGGCACGCAAACCCTGACTGTGGTCTATTTGGAAAGGAACTAAATTTAATGACAGCAGGTAAAATGTCTAACCGGTTCTATCGCCATATTACACGGAATCTGCTCACAATTCACATCCAAATATCCAGATCTGTGTGCTGCAGTAGAAATATGATCTTAAATGAGGAAAACTGAATAGGATTGTGAATATTGAATAAATAAATAAATAGTAAATCTATATATGTGATAATAGATAGATGCTTTTAAAAGGAATATATTCAAGGCAAAAAAAAAAAAACATATGTGAGCAAAACATTTACAGCTCAATACAAATAGATAAAAAGAAAACCGCAAAATAAATAAAACTATACATTTCTTTTTCCCTATGCAGTATTTAAAAAGACACACAAACGCCAAAGAAAATGAAAAAGCTACCATCTACATCTTCATCACCTAGCAGTCAGAGCTCATAGAAAATCTGTGTTTATTGGTTGTATATGTAAAATTAATCTTAAACCAGTCCTTCTGGTGGATTTATGGAGAAAGCATCTTTCACGCAAAATGTCTTTTAAGAGCACAACATATAAAGTCTGTAAGGTATTGTGCTAGCAAATGTTTTAATAAAATATGTTGCTTTAGGATCTCTGCATTTTAGGTGCCAATGAAAGCGTGCAGAGACCCACATTCAAATGATGAGAAGTATCATAGTTAGTTCGTGCAATAAAGAGAATTATGCCATCCTACAAAAAAAGAAAGATGTAATTCGTTCACAATAAACTGGAGATCACAGGGCCACAACAGTGAACATAGTCTTACGTCTTTTTCTTAACCAAACTCTTGCGCTCTTCAGTTGTGCTATCCCATGGATAATATCCAAGGAGAAATTTCCAGGCTTCTTTTCTCAGCCCTAGACTAAGGCCCTGGAATCAATTAAAAAAAAGCGCTATCAACAACAAGCATTCTTGAACTTAGCAAACATGGTAGATTCATAATAAGAAAGGATAACAGTTTAGGTTGGCCAATCTCGATTTGTGTAAATATCCCAGAATTCTGACTCATTTAGCAGTAACAAGAACACGCAAGGGAGCAATAACCAGTGTTCCGTATCAGCAGAAAAGATGTCAGAGACCGAATACATCTTTCAATATTTGACCGTTAGGCTCAACGGTCACTTGAGGGTTTGTTTGTTTTTGCAAAAACACTGCAGCATTGACATGTCAGGTTCCATAATGACATCTGAGGTATGGGGAGAAACAGAAGGTAGATATTCTTTCTTAAATCTATCACCTTAGAATACCAAGGTACTAAATAGGGGATCTATATTGCACAAAACTGCAGGATCTTCCATGAATGATACATATTAGCAATAAAATTCCATAGACATTATTTGTGCACTTTACAGTAAAATGTCCACTGCCATCAGCCGTTGCTTGCAACAGCATATGGGTAATGGAAGTTGTTCAAAGCACCACCCTTTGTTACATTTTACCAATGAGGCAATATATGTTACTACTTTGTCTCATATATACTTTCTTGTTCTGTTGGAATTTCAATGATGGTCAAAAACAATCTAAATTTACATAGGAAAAATAAGACATTCAATGTTAAATAGTAGCAAACAAAAAAAAAAACTTCATGTCCCCCAAGTATTTACATGCTAACTAACGACTCTTAACTAGGTTGAAGCCAATTCTGTTCCTTCACACTTACTCCAGAAAAGATACGCTTCTTCAAGACATCTTCATTGATCACTCGGCCTTCAGGGTCAAAGCAACACTCCCACTCCTGCTCACTGACCGGTACCTGGCGCTGTATGACGGGGCGTTCTCCCAGCTCCACTTGCTGCAATGGGTGGATGACAATTAAACACACCGAGCAACCATCTTATCCATGTTAATATTTTTATGTTCCCAGCCTTTAATCACTAGCATGCTGCCATTTACTTGAACATCAAGCGGGAGCACACACTAACCCAAACGAAGATAGGTTTGGTTGCAAATCCGTATCGAGGTATTGTGAAAATGTGTCACCTTGCACAGCAGTGAGATCTTTGGTCTGGTCTATATGTGCTCTCAACCAATGGTCAAGTAGATCTCAGAGAGATGTTGAAAGGCTCAGAACCCGACAATGTTCTTTTATTTGTCTACAGTTCTCAAGTCCATGACTGGAATAGCAATGTATTCACAAATTTTATTTAAAGGTTTTATTTCTCTGGATATTTAAGTGAAAATAAAGACATATACTAAATAGGCCTAGCAGTTAGGGCATGTTTAGAATAATAAAATAAAAATCTAGCAATATTTTAAACAGAGCTCAAATTTCTAAATATGTTTTTTTTTGTTTTGTTTTTTTACAAAAAGCATCTACTTTTACATAGTTACTTACTAACGTGAGCATTCCAGGGAATTCAAAGTAAATTTTAAATTCAGGTTAAAATAGCTAAACTGGAAAAACATGCTTTCCGTTGGGCTACTTTAGCCTTCACTTAGAAATTCACTTTGAATTCCCTGCAATTCTCACATTTGTGAATAACTCCTTGTATGGTCTGTTTTGGTCCTCATCGCTGGATTTTTCTTCAGACTTAAAAAACCCACTCTTTCTGCATGTTCAACAGTTTCAGAGATTTCTGATATTCTCTGCCTTCCCTTAATTTAAAATAAAAATAAATAAAAGAATCAGAAAAATAAGGCTACAAAGGCTGTCATCATCGTGTTTAACAAAAGTCTTGTGGTCAGATGGAAAAGTGGTAAAACCCTACTGATTAAATGAAAGTTCTTTTGTGCATTATCTACATATGTCAAAGGCAAACCTTCCAAAATGCTTGCTTCACACACAGCAGCTCTGAAAGACATTGTCCCTGCTATTTTCCCAGAATGCCGAGCAGTGTAAGTTTACAAGCACAGAATTAAATCACTTTTTTCGTTTCTGCAGGCTCCCTTTGCAATGATAGACACAAGGTCAAATACAACACGACTTTCTGAGAGAAATGCAGGAAAGAAAAGGTCTTTCAGTACGAATTTCAATATGTCCCTCAGCTTCAATAGATTATAAACTATTTTGTGATACTTACACAAGTGATCACCTCAAAGCCTGGCTCGTCCTCTAGCCCAACGGCCATTTCTGATAAGGGCCTTTGGTATGTGCCATCATGTGGTCGCAGAGCTCCACGGAAAAAGTTGGTAACCTTAGAAAATCCTCCAAATGTGGCAGAGTAGGGATCCTGAAAAAATCTCTAAACAGATTAAAAATAAATTGTTTAAGATGACATCCTTCTCGAGAGCACATCTTGGTGGCAGTTTACAATTTAAACAGTTTAATTTAGTTTAGTTACAATGTCATTTTACCATGGCTCAAATTATCATTTGCCCTCGAGCTTGCCTAGTAATAACACAGGACTTGAGATTTCTAGTCCTGGTTACACATTAAATAATTCCGCCAATACCTTTCAGTGGGTGGGCTTAAGGGGCTGCATTACAGCTACAAGCATGGAGTCAGCTCTATTCTGGTAGCACACAGAAGTTTAAAAACTTTACTAACAGAGAATTCCAGCAGAACTAGCAGAATCGCTAGAAAATAAATACAATAAAATGGGAAGAGTGTGTGTGTGTCTGTCAGTAAGTATGTGTGTGTCTGTCTGTGTGTGTGTGCCTGTGTGTGTCAGTAAGTGTCTTTGTGTCTGTCAGTGTGTGTGTGTGTGCATGTGTGTCTGTCAGTGAGTGAGTGTGTGTGTGTGTGTGTGTGTGTGTGTGTGTCGTTTAGTGTTGCAATGGCCGCGGCTGGACAGTGGAGGACCTGGAGATGCAACGCCACGTCACATTCCAACGTGACATCGAAGTGCTCAACCTTCACAGGGTGTCAAGAAGTAGTGGAAGGATCCGCTTTGGCACAGGGTGCGGTCGGCGCCATTTGGGATTTCCAGAGACCGGGCTCCAGAGTCGCATACTGGCAGCGGCAATGTGAGTGGAGTCTGTTTGTTGGCTAGAGAGGGGTGCTGGGATTTAGTAGAGGAGGGGATTGTGATTTAGTATATGGGGGGTGCTGTGGTTTAGTAGAGGGGGATGCGTTTTTTTTTTTTTATACTGTACGTTTCAAAATAAACCTATGTTTCTATGAAAATGTAAGGGGTTTTTTTTTGTGGCCCACATAAACTTAAACCTTGTTTATTTGGCCCTTGCTAGACTGAGTTTGACATGCTTGATCTGGTATATAACAGAGAACTGATGGGTTATACTGTAAGTGCAGTCATTGTTGGAGGCAGACAAAGGCAAACAATAACTTTAGCTTGTCCGGCTGTATAAACCCATGGACCAAAAGGATGTCACATCAGCTAGCAGTGTGAAAATGTAGGAGGGAAATCGCGGAGCCAGAATAAAAGAATGAAAATAGCTTCAAAAATGTATAAAAATATTAGGATACAAATAGCTTCATAGAAATGTATTTGGATCCCATACTTACTGTCTAGTGAAGAAAGAAATTACTAAGTCAGTAATAATCTTATTTCCTTCCACAGCCATAATTTGTCTTAGAGTTGAGAAGGCATGGAAAAAAAAAACCCGGAAAAAAAACAGTTTTTCCAGGTTTTTTTCCCCCCAAAGCAGTTTTTGTTGTTGTTTTTTCCCCCGGACAAAATATGGCATGTGGAATAAATAATATGCTTATGACATGGTATTCAAACTATATAAGATGAAGAACTTAATGAAAGACTTCTGAGACTTTATGTCTTTATGCAAGTTCTCTCACCTGAAGACCAGCAAATCCTGGAATACAATTCAAATGCTGAGAATGCAATTCTCAAATAAGAGCAATATGCACTTCTGTCTTTAGGGGCGCTGCAGGAAAAAAGGTTTCAGTTTAGTTTGGTTGTGGCCGGGCACCATCTTGTTGGTATGCACAAGTTGATTGTTGGTATAAAGTAGTTGATTGTATCTGTCCTCTCAGGCCACTCCAATGCAGCTTATATATTGAGGTGGTCCTTACACCGCCAACGCCATGTGTCCAAATCCTACTGGCACAAATAATGCCAGTTACCTATCTTTTTATTTGCAATTGGTGCTAAGGTGCAAATCTGTTTGGACAATTGTGATCAGAGCTCTCAGTAAAATTCCTGAAGGAAGAGTTTTTGGTTGTTTTTTTATGTTGATGGTTTCTTCATTTTTGTTGCTTTTAAGGGAAAGAGCAGGGAGGATACCTGTTCTTATGTACAGTTTAAATGTCCTTAAAGGGACACTATAGTCACCAGAACAACTACAGCTTATTGAATTTGTTCTGGTGAGTAGAATCCTTACCTTCAGGCTTTTTGCTGTAAACACTGTCTTTTCAGAGAAAATGCAGTGTTTACATTACAGCCTAGTGATAACTCCACTGGCCACTCCTTAGATGGCTATTAGATGTACTTCCTCTGGCAGTGCTGCATAATGTGCAGCATTGCCATTCTGTGTCTCCTCCCTCTGCATGGAGACACGAACTTTCCTCATAGAGATGCATTGATTCAATACATTTATATGAGGAAATGCTGATCTGATCTGCCTCCTTGACAGTCTCAGCCAATCCTATGGGAAGCCTTGTGATTGGCTCACATAATCACTTCTGATGATGTCATTTAAGCAGGCAGACCAGGGGCAGAGGCAGTAGCTACAGTATTAAATAAAGACTTTACTATATTTGGGGAGGCAAGCGGTACCAGGGGGGCTAGATGGTGTTTTTAACACTATAGGGTCAGGAATACATGTTTTGTTCCTGACCCTAGAGTGTTCCTTTAAATTATACAGACCTGATTGTTCCATTTGTAACAAAAAGTTTCAAAAAGCAAATTCAGTTTATTATTTACTATTAATAATTACTATTTCAAGCATAATACTTTTATAAACACTGCATACCATGTTCCCAGTGTAACAAAAGGATTTTCAATTTGTAAAAACTACTCCACAATACTTTATTTTTTTTTTCAAAAAATTCAATTTTTCATGGCTTCAAAATGTCCGGAAATTTTACACTTCTAGTTGGTCCACAAGTTGCGGACTGATCTGATATCCGAGAACCTTGAATATCTGAGGTTGAAGCAAGAACCCTAGACAAACAAGCACAGCTTAGGCGCCACCCACAGGACAATTAACCGTGGTACAACATCCAAACATAAAAGAGCAAACAATTGTTACAAAATGTAACGCTAAGACCAACCAGCCCAAAATATCCTATAAAAGTGAATAAGGCAGGAGGGAGACCAAGATTTCTGATAAGCACCTAATGGAGATTCATAACAAAGTATAAGGAACAACAAAAATAAGCACTGTCAAATATAGAGACATTTTCAACAATTCATGGTGCAATGAAGAACATCATTTAACAATGATTTAATGTGAGAAAGGAAGGGACTGCGTAACTCATTACAAAGATAAAAAAAAGTTACCAAAATATAGAAGATGCCACCTACAGTTTCTGAAGCAACACAATGTACCCAGCTGTTACGAGTATTGGGGGCAAAGATACACTGGCATCAACAGATATATGGCAAAAGGGGAAGCGATGCCCTGAAAAGTTTTTTTCCTTTGATTTAAATGAAGCCTAAGACTGACAATGCCTGTAAATATTATGACTCTATTCCCCCATGGAAAACTGTCTGCAGATACTGCTGCAAGGATGCAGTTTGCACGGTTATAAGAATCTGATGTGCCAGTTTGAAAGCATTCAGTGTAGGAGATTGCTATGAGCAGCACCTGCAATGTTCAGAGGTGAGGGGGGACGACTCCAGACTACAGCTGGTAAGCACTGCATCAGAAATGCTGCAATGGACGGGCACAAAACATTGAAAGAGACAAAGACTTTGCTAAAGAGAAACAGCATAAATCAGAAAAATAGTTTACAAAAAAAATCCTGGTCTCAGAAGTCAGACACCAAACAGAAGATAATCGTTATAAAAAGAGGTGTATACGGCATCGTTCTGCAGAGACTTAGACCAAAACACACACTGTAACTGTAATAATAAAAATAGGCTATCTGCAGAGACTAGCATCGAAATAGCCAATGCAGCTGCAATAAGAACTGGATAGTATGCAGAACACAACACCAACAGTGGTGTATCTACCGCGAGGCTGACAAGGCATTTGCCGTGGGCGGCACTTTCAAGGGAGCGGCAAAAAAAAAGCCGCCCCCAAATGCCCTGGCCTTGCCTGCCTCTTGTCCTGGGGGCCCTAGAGCTTGCTGGCTAGCCACCTTATGGCCCCCCCGAGGCTAGCATCTACCTTATGTGGGAGACGGGCGGCAAGGGAGCACTCTCCCCTGAGTTCTTCCCTGCTCAGTTCCCTCTCACGCTCCGCAGTGATGCCGGAGCTGGAAAATGACGTGACTCCGGCCCCGGCATCACTACAAGGCGCACGAGGGAGCTGAACAGGATGATCAGAGCTCCCTCGCCACCCGCCTTCACCCTGCATCTGTCAGCCCGACTGCCTGCCGAGCTGCAGCCAGCTCTTCTGGACCACAGGGAAGAATCCACTCCAGCACTCCCAAAGGTAGGGAGGCTGGGTGGATTAAATTTGAGTTTTTAATTTTAAATTCTGAGTGTGTTAGTGTGTGTCTGTTACTGAGTGTTAGTGTGTGTGTGTCTGTGAGTGTGTTAGATTGTGTCTGTTAGTGAATGTTAGTGTGTGTGTGTATGTTAGTAAGTGTGTTAGTGAATGTTAGTGAGAGAGTGTGTGTGTGTGTGTGTCTGTTAGTGAGTGTTAGTAAGTGTGTGTCAGTGAGTGTTAGTGTGTGCATGTTAGTTAGAGTTAATGTGTGTCTGTTAGTGAGAGTGTGTTTATTTGTTAGTGAGTGTGTGTCTGTGTGTGTGTATATTTGTTTGTCAGAGTGTGTATGTCAGTGAGAGTGTATACGTGTTTGTCAGGGAGTGTGAATGTGTGTCTGTCAGTGTGTATCTGTCACTGAGAGTGCGTGTCTGTCAGTGTATGTATGCGTATGCCTGTCAGTCAATGTGTGTGTCTGACACTAAGTGTATATTTGTCTGTCAGTGAGTGTTTGTCAGTGTGTATCTGTCAGTGAGTGTGTCCCAGTGTATGTGTGTGTGTCTGACACTAAGTGAGTGTGTATGCATTTCTGTCAGTGAGTGTGTATGTGTCTGTCGGTGAATGCGTGTATGTCAGTTAGTGTATATGTGTGTCTGTCGGTGAGTGTGTGTGTAACTGTTAATGAGTGAGTGTTTATGTCTGTGAATGTGTATGTTTCAGTGAAAGTGTGTGTAGGTTAAACAGTGTGTGTAACAATGACTGTGTATCTGTAAGTAAGTGTACGTCAGTGCATGCATCAGTGAGGACGTGTGTCTGTCAGGAAGAGAAATTTGGAGAGGGGGGGGTGCCTGAGTTTTGTCATGCCTTGGGCAGCACAAAACCAGAATACACCACTGAGCACCAAGAAATACAAAGCAACCAAAACTGGTTAAATATTTTCATAAACAAGAGCTAAGAATGTCATACAAATGCTCAGATGAATAATAAATGCAATAAAAACTAATTGTATATGTCACACAATGCATTGGGCAGTGTGGATATATGCAGTGTAACCAAAAAAAAAGATTGCGTTCCCCGGTATGGTGCTGCAGATGTCAGACCCAATTATGTAACTACAGCAAACACGGGGTCTTCTAAACAGCACTGTATGTCACCACAAATGATGACACTGCAAAGACAATGGGATTCTAGATATGGGTAATAAAATTACTGCAATGCAACTGACTGAGGTCATTTGTATAGTGCTGGAGAATTCAGTAACAACATGTGTGGAATTGCAAGGAAGGAAAGGAGGGGAAAAAAAGGACATCGCATATAGTGTTGCTAGAGCCACTGCCAGCATAATGGTATTAAATGCCGACATTTTCACGAGGTGTTGCAGAGAATATGAGCAAAGTGTAAAAAGAATAGGGACCAGGTATTCTATAAAAGCATAGCTGAATTAATGTACATGCCAAGATGAAGCTCACGTGTGAATGGTAAAAATCAAGTTCCTCGGTACAGTGAAGCATAAACTAACAGCACGGTAGCCAACGCAACGCGTTAACCCCGAGACACAGCAACAAAATACTATGCATACAAATACCTGCGTCAATATCGGTATAATAACAGCAAGTACATGTGTGTGAATATTATTGCACAAGCAACCACTGGGACAGTACAAACGAAATTAAAGATTTAGTGCATTAAACTACTTACAACATTTAAAGGGACACAATGGACACCCTTTTAAGAAAACGTTTAAGTGAGCACTCATTGAAGTAGTCTACGTGCAGTGTCGCAGGTTCCTTAACCCTGCAATGGTAATTATTGCTGTTTTTAATAAACTGAAATAATTACCTTTGAGGGTTAACTCAACCTCTAGTGGCCGTTTTCCAGACAGCCACTAGAGCAGCTTCCAGGCCGTTAGGCAACTTTTGGTCACGTAAAAACTGGGCTGGATGTCCTCACGATATGCATGAGGATATCCAGTGTCATGTAAACCTCCATAGGAAAGCACTGTACAATGCTTTCCTACGGGGGAAGTACTAATGCGAGAGTGGCCATCGCCGCACATACGCATTTGGTCCTCCCGCCAGCTGTCGTCGGTGTGGGAGGAGCCTGAACCAACGCCAAGGGATATCGGCGCTGGATTCAGGTAAGTCAGAGGGGTTTGGGGGGGGGGGGAGGCGCTATAGGGAGTTATAGTGCCAGGAAAACAACTTTGTTTCCCTTAAAGTGCAAGAGAGCGAAGAAAAAAATAATATAATGCCACTGTGCAAAATAGGTACAACAGGAAATTAAAAATGTACTTCTACGTGGAAGAAATACAAGTTTTAGTTGGAGTGTCACATGTGTACAGAGCATACAAAACAGACGATGCAATTAGCACACAAAAACAATACATAAAAGGGTATAATGCAGCTAGCCTAGAAGCAAACGAGTTAAGGCCCTGCAGTGGACACATTTTCAGCTGGAAATTACTAAATATATGCCATTTAGAAGGTTTCTAAAGCTTTCCTGTCCGGAGACTGTATATAGCAACCCTTTAACAGATGGCATGTGCAAGGATTCTGGGTGTTAGAGATGCTCATTGCCTGTTTTTACATGGCACAGCAGTACGGAGTTAAAATGCCAACTTCAAGGCTCTGAGGTGTTCTCCAAGAGATGTAGTATGGCATACCATGACAAGAAGTGGTGCAACCTTCCCAGTAGGGCCTGGTATAAGCCAGTATATAAGAAGAACCTTAAGCTGAGCAGCATCAAAATTCTAAAATATATCTGTCTCTGTGGTTGACTACGGTAGTGGCAGAATTACTAAATGATGGTTAAGCAGAGTCTACAAACCAGCTTCAGGCAAGCTGGAGTACTATTCTCCACTTAGCCAAACGTGCAAAGAGGGAAAGGGTCCCACAGAGAGACCATTAAAGGGACACTCCAGGCACCCAGACCACTTCTGCCCATTGAAGTGGTCTGGGTGCCAACTCCCACTACTCTTAACCCTGCAAGTGTAATTATTGCAGTTCTTTTATAAACTGCAATAATTACCTTGCAAGGTTAACTCCACCTCTAGTGGCTGTCTACTAGACAGCCACTAGAGGGCACTTCCTGGTTCCTAGCACAGGAAACCTGTGCTAGAGTGTCGCTGGACGTCCTGCGTCGCTCATTTCCCCATAGGAAAGCATTGAAATGCATTTTCAATGCCTTCCTATGGAGAGCGCTAATGCGCATGCGCGGCATTAGGTCTCCCCGGCCGGACTAATGCATATTGACAAAATATGGCTAATATATATTTATTCTATGATCAGGAAGAACATATAGCCTGTAGCCTGACATACCAGACGTTACCAACCAAAGAGCAGGGAACCCGCTCCAAAACCAAGGACAGAGAAGCATGGTGGGCTAAGACAGGCTACAAGAGTTTCAAAAATAAAATTAATAAAATGACCCATGTTTCCTAATTATTCCATTCTCTGTCTTGACCGTGCTTTATGTATTACATATTGATGTAGCGCTGCCTGTCTTTAAGAAAGATGTTGTAAAAAAGATCCATGCTATGTCTGCAAGGAACTGGTAAATATTATGTTCAGACTAAAATCCCAAGAAGGGTTCTACAAGAGTTTAAGGATAGTCATTCTGTATTGGCCTACCACTGAATGAACCATGGATGCAAAAATAAATTAGATAGAAGCTTTGCTTTAATAATTAACTTAAATGACCATAAGGGAAAGATTGCCCCAATAAGGTATCTGGCGGTTTTTGTGTTTATGTTTTTTTCTTTTCCCAAAAGGACCTGAAAGACATTTCTGGAAGAAGCAAATGCTTCCTCTCCGTACCTCCAATAACTATAAATCTGCCATACAAACCCCACTCACAGCTTACTATAGAGGAGCCTAAAATGTACAAATGCACAGTTGCAATATTCATCTTATAGCTCTAAAACAATAACTAGCAGTATCCTGACTACAGCTGTTTTAAACTAATGCAGAAGCTCTATTCATCCTATGCGATGAATGGAAATATTATTATTTGCATTCACTGGCTGCCACGTGCTGAATTACATGCCCTATGGAGGGCAGGGGCGTTGCGAAGGAGGGGCCAGTGTTGGCCCCTCAAAAGCCCTGGCTTTAAAATACACCAAGTCCCATATCTTGGGGCAGGCTGGAGACTCGGAGACTAAGGGTAGAGTGCACACTGTGCAGATATATAACTGAATTTCTGGCACTCCACAATCATGTGCTGTACTAGAACTTGGTTGGTCAGTGGTTGTATAGCGCAATAGGGACCGGGAGTAATAAGCCAGAGACTTTGGACTACAGGAATCGGAGTCTCATTCAGAAAACCAGCATGGCAGGCAGGGAGAACACAGCAGCCTGACAGCAGAAGTGATCAGGGAGATCAATGAACAGCACTGATACAGTGACTGGCCACCTGCCTTCCCAAACACCCCTCCAAGTACAGGGCCATCTTTTTTTTATTGTATATATGTATATCGATGTGTGTGTACCTGTCTGTGCATACCTATCTTTGTCTGTATTTGCCTTTCTGTGTCTATCTATAAGCGCTTGTGTGTCTGTGTGTATATCAATCTGGGTGTGCATCCTTAAGTAACTGTGAATGTGCAAAGTTTTAAGTGGTGGTATTCAGAAGGTACCAAGGAGGGGCTTTAAGAAGGAGTCACCAAATTAAATTTGGGGTCATTCTCAGGTGTTTCTTGACTTTACAAATGCCCCTGTTAGGGTTTCTAGGAATTGTTCAGCTCCGATTAAAAATAAAGGTAGCATTGGGATCACAGCCAAGTTCCGGTTTTGGGTAGCAGTAGGGGATTTGGCATTAATGCAGCGCTTTTAACATGGTTCTCACTAAATTCCTAATATTACAGAATTAAATTCAAATGAAAGACTGCACTTAAAATAGCAAATTTTGTAATATTCTCAACACTAGTCTCAGTTTGGCTATTTCAACCTCAAATTGTCATTCCTATTTAATACACTGAAATTCTGTTTTATTGAATAATAGTGCTTTTTCCCCCCAATTAATTTTCTCTTTGCTTATTTTGAATGCATGAATTTACATTTAATTGAAAATGGGGAAATAACTGTCCCTTTAATTATATTGTGAACATGCAGTGCTATAAAATTCAAAGATTAGTTCAGATAATATTAGAGACAGAAAAAAAAAAAAGGATCCGAAACTTACAGACACCACGTCAGAGGAACCGTCGTCAAAAAGCTGGAGTTCATCGAAGGAGTGAGAGAGTGCGTGGGAATCGTGTGGATAAACCAAGTACAGGCGGGAATCCCTTGGAGAACTGGTAAGACACATACAAAAAAGAATGCTCTCTTAATCTACGTTCTGCTTAAATTAAAAGGTGCACACCATTTATAAATGAACTAAGATAAAATATATATTTGACATACGGAAATTTCATTTAAAACCGTTTACTTCAAACTCTTTTTCTGAAACAGGGTCATTCACTAAAGTTAGAATGGAAAGTGAATTTTAAATTTAAAGGGACACTATAGAAATCAAAACAACATTAGCTTAATGAAGCAGTTTTGGTGTGTAGATCATACCCCTGTAATCTCACTGCTCAATTCTCTGCCATTTAGAAGAGAAGTTCTGAACCAAAACAAAACCTAGAATTTGAGCTATATGTCTGTTACCCATAATTCACCTCTTTCATATTACAAAGTTGTTGATGTCCCTCAGCGCTGGTTCAGGCTCTGCCTCCGCTACTCCCCCGCCACGTCAGCTGGCGGGGGAGACCATAATGACAGCCACACTCACATCAGGACTTCCCTCACAGGAAAGCATTGTATAATGCTTTCCAATGGGGCTAAGGGTGAAGTTGGATGTCCAAATCGACTAACCGTCGGGAAGTCCCTCTAGTGGTTGTCCGGTAGCGTTACCCTGGCAGGTAATTATTGCAGTTTATTGAAAACTGCATTAATTACCACTGCAGGGTTAAGGGACCTGGGACACTGTACCCAGACCACTTTAATATGCTGAAGTGGTCTGGGTGCTTATGGTGTCCCTTTAAGCGCACCCACACTTATTATATATAATTTTGAGATATGGGGCTTTCATTTCACATTAAATATTTATATATGGAAAACAATTCAATATGAATACATTTTCAAAAAGTGTGAAAGGCTAAGAAATTATGTTATTTTCCAAGTTCTGCATAGCATTTTAACGGTGAATGTCATAATACTGTTAGCTTTTACATTTGTGTTCACCAATGTCTCGCAAGTACAACAGTAACCCCCATATACAGGTTTTATGGGGTTTTGGAAAATTACAGAGTCAAATTTAATAATTTCCACTTTTCAGTTTATACAGATTGAAATTTGCCAGATTGGTTTGCTCTGCCTCTGTTGCCTTTGAGACCGTATGGCAGCCCAGGATTGAAAATTACCCCCATCATGTCATACCATTTGCAAAAGTAGACAACTAATGGTATTCAAAATGGGGTATGTCCAGTCTTTTCTAGTAGCCATTTAGTCACAAACTCTGGCCTAAGTTAGTGTTCATATTTTATTTTTGCAGTACAGGTTTTATGTTGTTTTGGAAAGTTACAGGGTCAAAGATAGGGCTTGCAAATTACATTCTCTGGACCTTCTGCCTGGGTTGTCAGGCAGGTCCCCCTATATATAATTAACATAATCAATAATTATGTAAAAATAATACATAAATATACACAAAGAATGAAATTATATAATTTTGTATATTTATATTAATATCAAAACGCAATATATAACCACTTTATATGTATCCGGCCAATCTGAGATATGTGATTGCATTGTCATTGCAACACACGACTCGGATCAGTGGGATTGGCTGCAGGGGGACTGCCTTGACTGTCATGCAGTCCCCCCAATCAGATTCAGAGAGGAGGATAAGTATACTGGCTACAGAGAGGGCCCGGTCATTAAGGCATGCTATGCCACCCTATTGGCAGGTAACATCAAGTTAGTGGGGCTGACTGTGGCTTATGGGAGTACGCTGTCGCTGTTCCAGACTCCCTCCTCCCCCCTTCTCCAGAGTCTACAGCCACGTGCAGCTCTCTGTGCGCCGGGTGGAAGTGAATGGAATTTTAATTACTTCTTCCCGGGGCTGAAGTCATGCAGGAACATGGGCAGGCGGAATGGGGCTGGGCAGGGAGCCGAGCTATATTTACCCGGTGTCCTGTCACGCCAGCTCGCCATTACCCAGCGCGGTCTTGGCACCAGGAGAAAGTATTTACAGTTCACTTCCTCTCGGCGCACAGAGAGCTTCACGGGGATTGAGACAGGAGGAGGGGGGAACAGGCTGACCAATCCCAGGTGCCAGGACAAAATATTTAGTCACAATGGCAACCTGGCACCTGGGATTTGTCGAGCCCTGCATTAAACATATCCTTTTGTTTTACTTCCATTACTTCCTTTTGCTATTAAACAAATGTTAAAAATCTAGCAAATGGCATCACAATGCAGACACAGCCAGAGAGTACAATTCATGAAAATTCTTCACCGTTCACGTTGCATTGGAGAAAGAGAAACACAAATAATAAAGGGACACTTTAGTCACCAGAACATCTACAGCTTATTGTATTTGTTCTGGTGAATAGAATCATTCCCTTCAGGCTTTTTGCAGTACACACTGTCTTTCAGAGAAAATGCAGTGTTTACATTACAGCCTAGTGATAACTTCACTGGCAACTCCTCAGATGGCTACCAGAGGTGGTTCCTGTGGCAGTGCTGCATAATGTGCAGCACGGACATTCAGTGTCTCCATCCTCTACATGGAGACACTGAACATTCCTTATAGAGATGCATTGATTCAATAAATTTCTATGAGGAGATGCTGATTGACCAGGGGTGTGTTTGGCTTGTGTTGGCTCTGCCCCTGATCTGCCTCCTTGACAGTCTCAGCCAATCCAATGCTTTCCTATGGGCTGCGATCATCATTTCTGGTGATGCCATGGAGGCAGACCAGGGCAGAGCCAGCACCAGCAAACTGGAACAAAGGTAAGATTCTGCTATATTTAGTGGGGCAAGGGATACCGGGGGGGGCTAGATGGTGTTTTTAACACTATAGGGTCAGGGATTCATGTTTGTGTTCCTTACCCTATCGTTTTCCTTTAAGGGAGTTTTACCGAGAACTTTTTACATGTAATTTTCTGAAAATGTACTTTATTAAGTGGTCAGGCTTTTTTTGTGCTTTGTCATTTTTTTTAATAAATGCCATTTGTCCAGCAATATAACATATTTTTTACATTTTCCACCACTTTTCTGAAAATAAAGTGGTAGAATTGTGTTCTCAGTAAATCTGGTGGTCGTCTGAAATTAAAAAAAAAATTGGAATTTACTATAAAGCAAACCATCAATTTTCAGATCGCTTAAACAAATACGATCAACATAATGACAGAATATAACAGTCACGTTTCAAAAGGCAATGATAAATATCCTCCATTATATCTTTTTATCCTACAATCACAATTATTTTCCTGCTGACTAACAGGTGCTAAAGTCAGAGCTTATAACAATGACAAGGAGCCAAGATAATGGGCTTGGTTCCAGAATAGATCTAAATAAAGATGTATGGAATTTTCAACATTTAATTTTATTTTTCAGAACTCAAAAACACATATTTGTTAAATATAGGGGGAAAGTAAATTTAATATTGAAAATCCTAGGAATGGGATAGTTCCCCTTTAATTATAGCCATACAGACAAAAGATAATGTTCACCCTGCAGGACACAGCTGAAATACAGGAATCCCAGTGATTACGGAACAGCAAATATTCTGCAAACTCAACCTTTTATTGTGTCCTTGTAATGGAAATTACACAAACTGCTGTCACCTTCTCGTCAGCAATTACAATTCAGGTTTTGTGATGACGCAGTAAACACCATCAATGTCAAACTATAAATTGTTTCACCTAGTAAGAGAGCTTATTTTAAGAAACAACCCCCACCCATCTCCCTAAATAAAAAAAAAATCATACGAGTATGTAAATATATCAGTGTTTACAGCTACTGTCATCTGAAACTTGTATGCAAGTAAATATTATAAGAATCCTTGCAACATGTAATGAAAATATATGGCATTTTTGTAAAATGAAGAATATGTAGAAAATACCTAAAAATCTGTCCCCTATTTTTACAGAACACTAGATCCCTCAATATCACAGATCTCTCACAAGTTATTTCCTGGTACATTTAGAATCTAGTATTTTCACTTTCTACTGTATCTTTTAAGCCTATATTGGGGCTTTTCTATACTAGTTGAGATTTGTTGTCTAATCCATTCAACGGGTTTTTACCCTCCAGGAAGTCCACATTCATTACCAACTTTCCACTCTATCTGGACAGTTTTTTCTGTCCATACCTATCTGTATATTCAAACACTTTCGGTTGGACAGCATGTAATAAAAAGATATGGCATATGGCATTTGTAAAATGAAGAAAAAGCTACCTTAAAATCTGACCCCTACTTTTACCGAACACTAGATCCCTCTGCCATATTTATGCACCTTCGGTCGGACTGAGGTAGAATCTGACCGTTTGGCTCCTCCTTCACTACTTTGAAAGAGCGATGCCGTCATCAGCCATTGCCCTGTGTGGTCTGCCTGGTCTGCATTGAGAATTGCCAATGTGGTGGGAATGAACCAGGTAGATCACACAGGGCAATGGCTGATGACATCACCGCTCTGTGCACGGAGTGAAGCAGGAACCAAACGTTTGGTTTCTACCTCAGTCCGACCGAAGGTGTAAGAATATGGCAGAGGGGTCTAGTGTTCAGTGAAAGTAGAGGCCAGATTTTCAGGTATTTTTTACACGTTCTTCCTTCATTTTACAAAAATGCCATATATCTTTTCATTACATGCTTCAAGGGTTCTTACGATATTAAAAAAAATCTGGTGACAGTTGTCCTTTAAGGGAACACTTTAACATTAGGAATACAAACATGTTTCTAAAGTTAGAATGTCTAGTTAGATGTAATGCACCCCCTAAAAGGGTTACTTCAACTACTATGACCACTTCTGCTTTTAGAAGTGGTCATGGTGGTAGGAGTCCATATGTGCAGCATTTCTGAATGAAAAGCTGCACATACAGAGATATATTATCTCTTGTCCGGGAGAATACAAATCTTTTCAGCCTTTTGTTTTGTCATTTGAGACCTCCCCACCATATGACTTTATCAAGCAAGAAGCCTGTGATGATGGAGGAGGCATGGAATCCTGTGAGGGGAGCTTCATCTGGAGCTGGATTCCAGGTAAGTTCAGCTTTCTTTTTCTGGTTTAGAACATAGGGACCTAGACAGTAATGCCCAACAAAGCATTCCACATTAAAAGCAAGGGTCCTGTAAAAAGGGTTGTAGCAACCATTTAACAACCATTTAACAAATTACAAATATACTCAATTTATAGTCATCTGGTGTGCCGGTCTCACTGTGGCCGCTACTCCTCCCCTGGCTAAGATCGATATAACTGATTATTTAAGCCAACTCAATGATTTTACATGTTAAGCATTGGGGGCTAGTGCCGTACTGCGTCAATCAGAATCTCCTCATAGAGTTGCACTGGTTCAGTGTATCTTTAAGAGTAGTGTTCAGTCCTGCGAAGATTGCCTGACCACATCGGGAAGGGCCTCAAGTGGCCATAACAAACACTAGAGGTGGCCTTAAGGTAGAAACGTAAATACTAACCATCTAAGAAAACTGCAAGGGTTGCTATGGTTGCTATTGTGACCATGACCGGGTGTTTCACCTGTAATGGATGGGGTCCAAGCCAGTCAGGAGCTCCCCTTGCAAAATTGCAATTTTAATACATTGCCATTCTAACAATATATTAAATTATTCTTTAAGATCTTACCAAGCACCCAGCCATCCATCTAATCTGAAAGAAACAGATTTATCAGACCAGGCAACATTCTTCCATTGCTCCATGGTCAAGTTCTGACACTCACGTCCACAATGAAGGCACTTTCGGTGGTGGACAGGGGTCATCATGGGCACTCTTACAGACTGCAGCTAAACTCCGATGCACTGTGTATTCTGACACCTTTTTCTATCATGGCCAGCAATACGTTTTTCAGCAAATTGAACTACAGTAACTCTTCTGTGTGATTGGACCAGATGGGCTAGCTCCCCACGTGCATGAATTAGCCTTGGGTGCCCATTACCCTGATGCCGGTACACCGGTTGTCCTTCCTTTCACCAATTTTGGTATGCCGTTTTGGAGATGCTCTGATACAGTCATCTGGCCATCACTATTTGACCCTTGTCAGAGTCACTCAGATCTTTTCGCTTGCCCATTTTTCCTGCTTCCAAAACATTAAATTTAATAACTGACTGTTCACTTGCTGCCTAATATATCCAACCCCTTAACAGGTACCAATGTAACAATAAAATCAATGTTGATTACTTTGCCAGTCAGTAGTTTTAATGTTGTGGCTAATCAGTGTTTTTAATTAAATGACTACAGAGTGTACATACTCACAATATTTATGAAATGTGTAGTGTAGGTACAAATCCCTTGATTTATGTAATATTTAGCATGTTTGCTGTTAGAAAAATATATTACTTTCAGCATCCATGTTATTTTCTGTTGTTCTTTTTGGAATTATTTAAACATATTGTACTTTAGAGGTTTCCTCATATTTGCCTATATCTGGGAGCTATGTTACATTTTCTAAAAACAATTCCCACCAACATTGCTTTTAAATGTGAGTTTAATAGTAAATCTATATTTCCAATGTATTTCAAATAACTGTTCATAAATAAATAGTTTCCACACGGCTATTCTAAAAGCAGTGTTTCTCCAGAATAGTGTTCAATTAAGGATGCTTTTATATGATGTATAGAAAAAAGTAAATATTCACAAACAGTGTACCTGATCATAAAATACTCTCCTTTGTCTGCCCTTGACGGACACGAACCAGCACTCAGCAATATAATGGTTTGTGAAATAGCTATACTACAAAACAGCGAATGGAACTACAGCACAGCTTAATTAGGACAAATTTCATCTTATAAATAATAAATACTGAAACCTATAGGACTACTCAATAATTATTTTAAAAAGGAAGGCTTTTAGCCTTTTTGCTGTGTACTTTCTTTCAGCACTGATGGACTTGCTTACAAGACAATACATCGAAGAGTCATCAAAACATCATCGATGTATCCGTTACCAAATACAAAATATCTGATGTTGACTTACAAAGACTACATTACTCCACTGATTATTTATTTCCTAGCTTGTTGTTGTTATTGACAATTTCATAGTAGAATAATAATAATAATAACAACAACAACAGAATAATAGGAATAGTAGATTTATAACAATATCCTTGACCTTTCCCACCCAATGGCATTTGATCTACAACACGACTTATTTTATTCCTTCTCTTTATTCTTCATACTTTATATAAGAGATAAATATTGTATACATATTGTGTCCAGTACTTAACTGGAGAAAAAGGAGAAATATCGAGTACTTACGTTGCAAGAATGACATATTTCTGCAGAGCTTTTAATAGAGCTTTTGAACCCCCTTGATGAAAATGTAATGCCTGAAAGGACACCCCTTCCTTGGTTATGAATATGAGGTAGGACCAGCCTAAGCCGGGCTTGCCTTTGCGGATGGACTTGAGATCTGATAGACTGAGTGAGAAGGCCCATTTCCCGCGATGACCAGGTTTCTGGGCTAAGGAAGTAAATGAAGAAGAAAAACAAACAGTCAGCGGGTTCTTGGAGTTTACCTCCTGTCAATCACATGATTGGCTGCCAACTTAACCACCATGGCAGCTTCAATATGGCTTCAATAGGTCTACAACAACAATTCAAGGGAATGTTCCTTCCCAAAGAAAATAAATCCGACGGTTATATATGAAGTACTGGCAATAACTAGCCACAGAATAACAAAACTTCAGGAAAGCACACGTTTTAGTCGTGGCAAGTGAAAGAGTGGTGCTGAAAAAACGTATAAATACAGTTATCTTGGTGTTTATAATTTTTCAACAGTAACTTCAATTCAATGGAAAATGTTTAATGCTTTAGACTTGATAAAGAAACAAACTCCCAAAAGCTCACCATTACAAATTTCTGTTGATTCAATAAAAAGAGTATTAAAACAAACTGCAATTCATCATTATTTCACAACTACTCTTGTCAAAATGTACTGCCCAAATATTGTTCTTAAAGTTCTAGTGTAACATTTGAAATAACTATATAAGTCTATATCAAATTCAAAACACATGAATTGTACCTGACAGATCATCTTGGGCACGAGTCCTGGTACCCACAGTGCTGATAACAGCCCAATCTGGCTCATAGCCTGGATCAAACAAATCTTCCTCTGCTCGACATGAGGTGCTGTCTGGGGAATCCTGTTAAATAGATTGAAATATATCATTAGAAATGATCTAACGGATAAGGGGTGTTCGGTTCAATAGTAGCTGTTGGGACAAGGTTGAATTTACAATTGAGTTTAATGTTAGACACCGTCATAATAGATAGTTTGTTAATAATTCTAAACATAAGTTACGTAGATTTCATGTAACTTTTTTCTTTGTTTATATTATTATTTATAATAATTATTTATAATTGTACAGATAATTATCACGGCTTTTAAGAGTATATTGAGCATTAGTCTAGTCGAGCATTTAAATTAATCTTTAAAACAAATATAGAACATAATTAAAGGTTCTTAGCATCATCATAAAATCGTTTTGACACAGCACTGCAAAAAATCCTGCCGTTTCAGCTAAACAGCACAAGGTGCTTCCCTCTGGATATATCACAAACATTTATAAACGCCCAACATCCAGGAAAAAGCCAGGTCAATCAAAGTGTTCATTGATCAATTCATTAAACACAAGATTTTGACTGTATGGACAAAACTTTGTGAAATTTACAGGATCGGCAATTTTCATATTTACTAAAGCTGGATACTGTTGAAATCATGACTAAATCTACGCCATCTGGTGGATGTGTTCTGTGTCAACCTTAAAATCCGTGCTTTTCGCATTCAAATCCGGACTTTACAAAGCCATCAATTTAATTATGATTGTGACCAAATGCATTTGGTGGCGTGCATATTTGATCATTATAATTCACTTGCCTATTTGCCCAGCAACAGCAATAGCAGTTAGCAGGCAAACCCTGGCCAATGTTTGCAAGCCAGTCACCACTTTATAGTTTATCCTCTGCCCGTTTCCTATTATGTACTGAGTTTTCTTAATTGACAAAAGTGAAGTTCTTTCGAAGAGGATTAACATGGGCTTTTTTTGAGAGCTGCAATCTTCCTAAAGCATTACAAGTTTAACCCCTTAAGGACCAAACTTCTGGAATAAAAGGGAATCATGACATGTCACACATGTCATGTGTCCTTAAGGGGTTAAATCACATAATAATCTGCATATTGCATATCTCATCCCACTTCATGTTTTTGTTTTTAGAACAGGTGCACTTTAAGAGCTCAGCATCAGTTCACAATATACTGTACCGTTCTCTGCAGTGACACCTGCTGGTGGGTAATGAGTATTGGTATGATTTTCACAGAACTAACTATTGTGCTCTCCTATGTGCGCTGCATCTAGTCTGTATAATTCTGTCTCTCAGGCACCAAAGATTCAACGGCAGGTGTAGCAAAAAAACGACTGGAAACCTAAGCACTGCTTATATTTGTGAACTGCACTTCGAAAGCCATTCCGTAGTGTCACAAGGGGGTAAGGGATGCCCCAAGAATATTAATAAATAGAGCACCCATTCCTGTATACAGATCTACTACTAAGTAATGTCTTACAAAAGAATCATGGTGTAGTGAATACATTAATTTACTATCAACTCAGTCTTGAAAGCGTTTACATCATTTGATTCATTTACTATAGAAATACATTGATTCCATGCTAGAATCATACAAATCCATTTCCAGGTCTCTTTAATACTTTAATACGTTCAGGAAACATGCAGCTGTGCACACACAATTCTTTTTGTTTTTCCACAAAATGGAAAATTGCATTTACAATTATGTAAAATCCATCAGGAGAGATCCCAATCCATTATTCAGAAAAATATGCTTATCATAGCTTCTCTGTACAAGAATATACAGCACCAGCAACTCTCTGGTGACCTGTTCCTTAAAGGACCACTATAGTGCCAGGAAAACATACTAGTTTTCCTGGCACTATAGTGCCCTGAGGGTGCCCCCACCCTCAGGGACCCCCTCCCGCCGGGCTGGATGGTGAGGAAAGGGTTAAAACTTACCTTTATTCCAGCGCCGGGCGGGGAGCTCTCTTCCTCCTCTCCGATCCTCCTCTTCGGCTGAATGCGCAACGTGGGCAGGAGCTGCGCGCGCATTCAGCCGGTCTCATAGGAAAGCATTTACAATGCTTTCCTATGCACGCTTGCGTGTTCTCACTGTGATTTTCACAGTGAGAAGCACGTAAACGCCTCTAGCAGCTGTCAATGAGACAGCCACTAGAGGCTTTAGAAGCTGGATTAACCCATTTATAAACATAGCAGTTTCTCTGAAACTGCTATGTTTATAAAAAAAAGAGTTAATCCTAGAGGGACCTGGCACCCAGACCACTTCATTAAGCTGAAGTGGTCTGGGTGCCTAGAGTGGTCCTTTAACAGAACTGTACAAATGAGAAAATGGCTTATATTTAGACGAAAAAACAAGATTTCCTCCACAGCAGGGGAAAGAGGCTTTTTACATAACAATAGGACTTAAGTCATAGCAGGGGCAAGGGGCTTTTAACATATTATTATTATTATGATGATGATATTTATACAGCGTCATCAAATTCTGCAGCGCTTTACAATGGGTGGACGAACAGACATGTAGTTGTAACCAGACAAGTTGGACACACAGGAACAAAGGGGTTGAGGGCCCTGCTCAATGAATAGTATGAATGAAGTCACAGCAGGGGCAAGGGGCTTATTACATAGTAAGAATGAAGTTGTAGAGGTTTCTGTCCAAATTGCTATACCTGATTTGCTATAAAAAACAAAACAAAAAAAAAAGCACCCAAGCCCATTTTAGAGTTATAACAGCTAATATGCAGTGTATTAATAGATTGTTGCTCCAAGGAGAAATGAGACACTTTGGAACCAACATTTTGTTTCAACTTTTTGCAACAAAACTCTAAACTTGTTTTTCATCTTCCTGCCTGTACATTCTCGGGGTATTTAACAGGCTTTTGCATTCCACTAATGGCTGTTTGACAATATATACATATTACGCTGCAATCGTATGGAACATAATTAGCTAGCGAACAAATCCCAGGGATCGACTTACTGGTAGGCACACAGCACATTATGACATTATTAAGCCTGCTACTGAGCACAAGTATTTTCAGAAATCGAGCACTGTCGGATCGGTTTACACATTCTTTAAATTATTTATTTTCTCTTGTTTTTGCAGCTCCTGCATGCAAGCAGTGCTGCTTCTCTGAAACTCATGCAAAGTATGCCCATGTGGCAGAATATCACTGCAAAAGATTGCCATAGGAAAGGACAGGATGTTCCAGGATACTGCTCAGCAGTGCTTAATGGACAAAAACATTCAATGCCACTGAACTCCATATTAATGTCAGTCAAGTCAGGTTGTCTCCGGCTGGCTCATGCTTGTACACATGGATATCAATAACAGATTCCCCCCACCCCGACTTCTTAGTCTTCTTAGTCCAAATTAGAGCGTATGTAGCTCCTGTATTATCTGTGTAGAGGACTCCTGCCAAGACAGTTCGCTGCTGAATTCTATTACACTTACATGTTGTGTTGTCTCAGCGTGATACTCATTCAGCACTCAGGTTATTATAGCTGCAAGTGAAATTTATTTCACTTTTAAAATGAAACAAAATTGAGAATTTCTCCTACAAGGAATGTCCCAGGTAAACATAATAAATGCCACTTACTTTCTTGTAGTGAATCTGTGTTGAATCTCCATCTTCTTCTACAGGCACCCACTGCAGGATCACATCTGACCTCTGAAAAAAGCAGCAAGCAAAACAGTAAGGAGAGGTTATTCACTAAACAATGAACGGCGATGGACTGAAAACGAAATCACAAATAAGACACAACAAGCTGTAGTGGACATGGTGTGTAGAGTGTTTGTGAATGGTTTGACCACTTTTCCTGGGAGGGAACCAGGACACCCCTGCCACTATACAACCACTGCAGCAGGACCCACAACCATGAACCCCCCCTACAGGGGTCGAGTATATAAAAGTGTGGCTTGTTCTCAATAAACTAGTTCTTTTTCACTATTTACTACGTCTCATCTGGTTTTAGGTGAGACAGTTATAACAGCTGTAATCACTCCAGGTGTCCAGTACGGGCAGAGAGGGACCGTTGGCATAGACACTCAAGCGGAGTGCTGGCCTCTGTCACAAAGTAGTCAAAAGAAGAAGGAACATTTTTTTATGTGCTTGATATTTCTTGCTTCCTATTACTAAAAACAATCATCTTGGAGCAGAAGGCAGAATAATGCACACACAGTCACATGCCACGCACTTGGAAGTATGGAACATTTGAAATTTGAATTGGAAGTCAGATGTCCGTCTCATTGTACAATGCATTTTTACTGTATACAGTATATTGTAGCTTGAAAACAAAATAATAAAACCTATTTTGGAAAACAAATGGAGTAGTTGTCTACTAGAGCACATCTTTGAATACTGGAAGTTCCTTTTTTAACACTTTAAAGGACAATTGCTACACTCTTCCATCTTTGCAACGTGGTCTTTGTGGACACTATGCAAATTGAATGGTCCACTTATTAAGATTGGGCAGCTTTATATAGCCATGCGAAAACCACCTTTTCTGTGGCACTCACCCTTTCTGTGACCTTGCTTAATTCTGTCTTGAGGACTGCTGAGTGTGCTGGCAAGATTTTGTGGATGTCTGCCAGCAAGATTTTCAGATCCCTTTTTGTGGTTGGGGCAGAGTCATCCTCCGTCTCCAGTGTTGGTGATTGTGTTGTTTATGGGCATCTGGGTGAGGTAGGTCTGGGCTGAGTTGGGTTTTGTGCTCTGTACTGCTGTGTTGCTTGGGGGTACCTCAGTGAGTCTTGGCTCTGCTATGCCTGGGTGTGTGGCATTTCGGGCTGTTGCGTTTGAGAGTGCCCTTGGAGGTCGGGTCCCTGCCCTGCCGCCCTGTCTGGTTGGTTTATGTGGGGGCTCCCCGGTTGGTCTGGGCGCTGCTGAGTATGGGAGGGTGCCTGGTTATGCTCCGGCGGCGCTGCCGTAGGTGCCGGTCGGGTAAGGGCGGGCTTTTGAAACATGGCCCCTATATCCCTGTCTCCGGTACCTTGGTGCCTTTGGGAGCGGCTTCCCATAGCCGGGGTGTGTTCCGGTATGTCTGGAATGTTCAGCGGGTACGTCAGGTCGATGTGTTTCGCTAGATGTCCGTGCAGGATTTCCTCGAGGCCCAGGCTTGATGGTGCGTGGTAGGCCCCGACCTTGTGTTTCTGCTTCTGCAGCTTCTGAGGCTGGAAGAACGGCATCGAAAGGTGCAGCTTGTTGTGCTGTTGCCGTCTGAGCGTGTGTTGTGGCTGCATGGGTTCTGGAAAGTTGGATATATTGTGGATTTAGTGTATGTGGTCTGGGAGCTGTTAGATATGGCGTCCGTTCATGTTGAGTTGCAAGCTCCGCCCCCCCTTAATCTTTTATTTTTCCTTAAAAATAAAGAGATAGATAGACCAGACAGATTTCAAAATGAAAACACCTACAGATACAGACCACACAAGTTAAACTGTTGTCTTGGGAGATAGGATGCCTGTCCGACTTCCCAACCAGTTAGCAGAACAGCGTACTGGAGTAAGGAACTACCGTACAAGGGAAGCATTAATTCCTTAAAAGCTAGGGGGAGCGTTCATCAGTGTACGCACAGGAACCCCCGAAAGTCGACCAAAATACTCATGTTGACTGTGATGGAATTTAATTTAATTTCCAACACAAACAAAATATATAATAAGACATAGCAGGACTATGTTATCTTACAGGGAATGCCAAAGTTGACTTAAGGAGGATCTGTCACTAGCAATGGTTGTGGCATAGGTCATGTCAAACTAATTTAATTGCATTCTACGAAGAAGTTAAAGTATAGATCAGGGTGTATCAGTGGATGTGATCTATTTGGATTTTGTCAAGGCATTTGATACAGTTCCACACAATAGATTAGTGTTCAAACTCAAAGAAATTGGTATAGATGAAAGTTCTTGTTCTTGGGTAGAGCATTGGCTTAAAAATAGAGTACAGAGAGTTCTCATTAATGGTAAATTTTCAAGCTGTACAGAGTTGGCATGTGGTGTCCCTCAGGGTTCTGGTCTGGGACCCCTTCTATTTAACATGTTAAATAATCTTGAAAAAAGCATTGAAAGTCATGTTTCAGTGTTTGCAGATGACACAAAACTCAGTAAAGTAATACAATGTGAGCAAGATATTACTTTGCTGAAGTGGGATTTTGATAGACTGGGGTACTGTGCACTCAAATGACAGATGAAATTTAAAGGATCACTATAGTGTCAGGAAAACTAAGCGGTTTTCCTGACACTATAGTGCCCTGACGGTGCCCCCATCCTCAGGGTCCCACTCCTGTGGCGCTGAACAGGTTAAAACACCTTTAATCTGAAACTATGTTTTCAGCTGCAGGGTTAAAACATGAGGGACCTGGCACCCAGACCACTTCATTGAGCTGAAGTGGTCTTGGTGACTACAGTATCCCTTTAATGTTGAAAAATACAAAGTTATGCACTTCAGCGTAAAGAATGCACAAGCAACTTATATCCTAAATGGTAGTGAATTAGGGATAACAACACACAAGAAGGATTTGGTAATTGTTATAGACAACAAATTAGGCAACAATGTGCAATGTCTATTAGCAGTGGCTAAGGCCAGTACGGTATTATCATGCATGAAAAAGGGCATTCATTCTCGGGATGAGAATATAATTTTGCCTCTTTATAAATCACTGGTAAGACCGCATCTTGAATATGCTGTGCAATTTTGGGCACCTGTTCTAAAGAAGGATATTATGGCACTAGAAAAAATGGCGGGCTACAAAATTAATAGAATGAATGGAGCATTTTAGCTATGAAGAAAGGTTAACAAATTTAAACCTCAGAGGGGATATGATAGCATTGTACAAATATATTTGGGGCCAATACAAACCACTGTGTGGAAATCTATTCACAAACAGGACTATACATAGGACACGAGGTCATGCGTTAAAACTGGAAGAAAGAAGATTTAGTCTAAGGCAAAGAAAAGGTTGTTGTTTTTTTTGTACTGTAAGAACAATAAGGATGTGGAATTCTCTGCTTGAAGAAGTGGTTTTATCAGTCTGTACAAATGTTTAAACAGCAACTAGATGCATACTTGCAAAAACATAATATTCAATTATATAATTTTTCAACAGTAGAGTAATAGCTTGTTGATCCAAGGATAAATCTGACTGCCATTCTGGGGTCAAGATTTTTTCCTAGTATCAACAGCAAAAAACAGATTTAAGGAAGGTAGTGTTTGATAGACATATGTTTCTTTTCAGCGTATGTAACTATGATCCTATAGTGAATTGATCCCTTTTCACAGGAGCTCTGAATTTTGGTACATAAGAGTATATAATAGAGGTCCACATGAGTAAAACGTATACAGGAATCGGCCATTAAATCTTGGGGGTTATTCACTAAACACCAATTGAAAATCCAATTGCAAAGAATCTGATTTGACTTTGCTATAGTCACAGCTTGGGTATTTAAGAATACATTTTGCTATTTGATTTTCTGTTCATTACAATTTGGTATTTAAAGCTCCGGTAAATGTGTTTAAATAAAATACTTTTCTTACTGAAAATTACTTTTTCAGTTCCATAAACCGGTTATGAAATTACCTAAAATGCTTGTGAATCTCTTCTCTCTAGCCACACAAGTTAAAATGAAAGTGTCCCTCTTTGAACAATCTAAATGTTGGGAAGAATGGAAACTCCTAGAACATAGAAAACGTTACACAAATTGACGACTATGATAGTTCTATTTTAAATACATCATGCAGCTGCTCACAGTTGTAGTTGTTCTGGTGAGTATAGTCAGTCCCTGCAGGCTTTTTACTTTCTGCTTCAGAGAAAATGCAATGTTTACATTACAGCCTAGGGACACCTGCAGTGGCCACTCCTCAGATGGCTACTAGAGGTGCACTGTCATTCACCTTCTGCATGGAGACACCAAACTTTCCTCATAGAGATACATTGATTCAATGCATCTCTATGAGGAGATTCTTATTGTCCAAAGCCGTTTTTAAGCTCTGCTCACGGCCCGCCTCCTTGGCTGAGATCATCAGAATTGACAATCTAAGCCAATCCAATGATTACCTGAGTTCATCACTTCTGACCATGTCAACCAAGGAGGCAGATGGGAGGTGAAGTATCGTATGCTGGACGATAATACAAATAAAATGGACATAAAACAAATGCAATAAAAGTCCAAATAAAACCGCTTTATCGTCATGAAGTGACTTCATCAGGGATATGGAGTTATCAAAGACCTCCTGGTTTAAATAGCAGTCCATCTGGGGCTTCCAGGTATTGCTTGTTGATCGTATGCATTGCAATATCCACATTTTTTGGACCCCAGATGTATTTGCCCCTTTTTATAATTTGTTTATTATTTTTTCCCATTCCCTATTTTTTTTTTCATTTGTGTATATTTATTTTTATTATATTTCCTATTCATTATTGCTCCTTTTTTTCTAATCTCATTTTTATGGTCTCCCATATGACCATGTTATATATTTTTTCTTTATTATATAGTACATATAACTTCTGCCTATGGTATGCTAGTCATCCCACCAGCATATATTTCAATTTACCTAGGAACTATGTTCCTATAGTATTGTTTGTGCATGGTGAGATTCAGTGTTACACTGCTCGTGTGGGGACACTGAATCATCATCTTCTCACATTTAAGCCGGAACATGAAGTTCCGGCTTGCGTTCCACAGAGGAACGCATAAGACTGTCCTTACGCCAGATCCAGATATTGTGTTCCTCGGTGGAATGCATACGATCAACAAGCAACAGATCGTACACCATCTCCATATTATCCTGATTCTCGGGTTGTATTTCTCCTGTTTTCACTTTGTGTATCTTATAACCCCCTATTTTATACTTCCCTGTTACAGTGTGTGTGTATATATATATATAAAAATCACAATAGTTTCTGGCACTCATCCCATAGCAAAAGCATTAATTCAGCAATGACCAGGTGCCTCTCCGGAGCAAAATATACAAATGGAACAAATTGAGAGCTGATAAAGACCGCTAGACGGTCGAAACGTTGATTTATATGCGTTTGATTTAATATATATTTTTTGTTTACTAAATCCAATGAGTGCTCTCAATTTGTTCCATATATATATATATATATATATATATATATATATATATATATATCTTAAAACTGGAATAAAGATTAAGATTTTACTATATTTAGAGGGTAACGGATAGCAGGAGGGCAAGATAGAGTTTCTAACAGAATAGGGTCAGGAATACATTTGTGTTCCTGACTCTATAGTGTTTCTTTAATTCTATTCACCTTTTCAATGATACGGAGAATCCCAGGGATCATGGAGTCCTGATCATTATGCCGCTTTGCACTGGTGTGAAGAAAGACGCCATGTTTTTCAAATATAACCTATGAATGGGCAGAAGAAATTAGGTATAATTTAGTCAATATACATTAAAACTCTCCCACAAGACAATCAACCACAACATACCTATGTTCCAATAAAGGAATGAAAGACAGCCCAGCAATGCTTTGTCCCAGCATGATCTGTGTGTACAACTATGAACCATTGTTTGCTGCCGTGTAGAGAACTATACACTTTTCCTTTTTCTACTCTGTGATAATTCCTAGATGAAATGAAGTTGTGCCGTGGATTTTGAACCCTGTACTTTAGGGTGTAACCCTAATGCTGTTACATATGAGAAGGAAACCTTTGGGACAAACTCAAGTAACATTTATATATAATGCACATTTGGTTTGAATGAAGTCTATATTTAATAGAATACATGGCCATTAGATAAGCATTCTGAGCGCCATAACTACTACAACAAGCTGCAGTGGTTATAGTGCCAGCAAGCTCCCTGTTCTGCGTCAAACAGTTTTCTAACCCTATGACAGACTCAGGGTCCTCCAATGTCGCCGTCCCACACTCCGCTATTGGAACTGTGGCAGTTACACTTCTGCATTAGCAATATCATTTTCCATCCATATTTGGACTGTATACACTGAATAAGTGTCAGGCAATGACCAACCAAAATTAGACAAAAATGTGTATTGTTAATGTGGAGGGCAGTGCCAGGGGCATGCTAGCACCGTAACCAGCACAGCAGGCTGCTTAATGGCCCTCTAATTTATTATATTATCAATGAATTTCCAATCAAAATCCATGATTACTGTTCCAAATTTCAGTCTATTTCACTGAAAACCGGAACACAAATTTGATGTAGTCCAAATGATTTTGTGCTTTGTTTTTTTGCTTCTATTGTCTCTAACTGAATATTCGTTGTGTCGTTAAAATGAAAGCTTTAAAATAACAACAAAACTAAAATGGCAGGAAAATCCCCAAACTTTTGCCCACTCCGTCACATTTTTATTTGTGTAAAGAATGAAGAAACTAATTCTAATTACTAATTATTTTAAAATGTACATTTTTGCTTCAGAACAAAGTATTAGACCAGTGATGGCTATCCTTGACATCATACATTTTTCTGGACTACATTTCCCATGATGCTCATCTAGCTTTTAGAGTCTAAAAGTTAGCTGAGTATCAAGGAAATGTAGTCCAGAAACAATTTATGGTGTCAAGGATAGCCATCACTGGATTAGACCATACCACTGTTACCTTGTGATATAATTAATATACACCAGATATTTTATTATCTTTTCACAGTTTGAAACCACACACACAAATATGACACTCCATTATGAATGCATTTTACCCACAACATATATAAAAACGGTACTAGAATGTATATATATGGATTGAGCTTGTTTGTTGGCTTAAAGGTGTGTAATGTGGGTGTTGTAAGTGTTATGGGTGTAATTTGAAAGATAAGTTGTGTCAGTGACGTGGCTCTCATCAGTTTTATTTCATATTGGTATGGAAAGGGTGATGGACACTGTGAAAGGTGTGGTTAGATTTTTGGACAAGCTCCTAAAACCAGGCTACATATTTCAAGTCCTTAGTAAATCAATAGTGTTATTCCAGTTGATGCCCTATACAAAAAAAGAAAAAATAGATCTAGACTGCAATATGTTTTAGCCCATGAAGACATATTCATCGCTAAAATACTTACTGCACACCTTTTGCATAGAAGTATACAATTCAAAAAATGGAAATAAATCACAGTACATTTGAGGAATCTAAAGGCCTGCACAAGTCTCACTTGCACATTTGTGAATCTAAATGCATTAACTGGACCATACAAAACCACATCATTACTCTATTTTATCAGGTATGCAGGAGACAGTAATCTACGCTAGTAAACCCAATCTTCAAAACCAATTCACAGATGTAGAAAAGTGGATAGCGGTTAACAAACTCTTCTTAAACACTGACAAAACTGTTACAATGATCTTTGAAACTGTACCTAAATTACGTAAACTACAAAATCAACAACTGTGTCTCAGAACAAATTCAAATAGCACACTGACCTTAGTCTGTTCTTTCAAATATCTAAGTATGTTGCTATACCCCAATCAATCCTTTGGCCTTCACATTGAAAAACTCTCTTCAAAACATTATCCAAAACTAGGTGCCTTGTACAGAAACAAATCCTGCCTAAGTCCTACAATAAGGAAACAGATAGTGCAACAAATGCTAATGCCTGTCATTGATTATGTGGATGTAGTGTATGCACCCGCACCGCCAACCCACCGTAATAAACTTAATACGTTATATAATTCATTCTGCCAATTGTTCAAGAATGTAATTACTTTATCCACCATTGTGACATGTTAAAAGAGCTAAACCAACTATTGCTGGAATCCTGACGCACTCTTCATCTTTCCAGCCTTGTGCATAAGAGCTTTTCTGGGAAGCTCCCACCCTACTTGAGTAGAATGCTCTCACCAGCTGTTCCCACCTCCTATAATTTCCAATCCAGTACCAGCACGATATTTAACATACCACAATAAAAAAAATAAAGTGGCTCGATCCTCATTTTCCTACAAAGCACCACAATTATGGAATAACCTCAGGGACACAGTCAAATCTTCATTCAATCTAAAATCTTTTAAGAGATCTATGGCAATATACCTCAATACAGAATCCACCTGTCATGGCTGAATATATTTATTACCTTTTATTTGTGTATGTGTATATATATATATATATATATATATATATATATATATATATTGTTTGTATATTGTATTTTTGTAATATTGTATCCTATTGTAACAATGGAATGTTTTGTAACCCAGGACATACTTGAAAACAAGAGAAATCTCAATGTATCTTTCCCGGTAAAATATTTTATAAATAAATGCGTTTTATCCATGTAAATCACAGGCAAAAGAACAAAAATCTTGGTAAAAGTGTATTTTAGCGTATTTTATTATTTCGAGTTAGTTATTTTGCTTATTGTGCCACTTAATCACAGCTGAACGAAACGGCAAATAATAAAATACGCTAAAATACACTTTTACCAAAATCTGAATAATATTCAAAGCAGAGTTCTTCAATCCATCCACCGGGAGTTGTTTTTTCCTTTTTTGGGGGGGGTGGGGGAGTGAGGGGAGGGGTGAGATTGCTTTGGTTTTAAACTAAATTTAAAGCACATACAACAGCATACACATTGAAAATGGTTTCTTCATTTGTATCAATATAAAATTGCCAATATTATTTTACTATCTGAAATTTTACAAATCCAACTGATTTCTCCTTGCATTAAAAACCACATAATGAATTCAGGGCAACAAAATACAAGTTCACATGAAAAGATAACAAAAAATATTAAAAGATGAAGTAGAATATAAGGGGATTTCCAGAACTACTGACCATTTCTAATTCCATGAGCAGTCACACGGTAAATATTAAGATACTGAAGGCAAGATACATACATGACTTGCCACATAAAAAAAAAAAAAAAAAAAAAGTTTTTGAAACAAAGTTAGTGGTCAGAATTACTTGCAGCAATGGATAATCTTTGGCTCTAACAGCCTTATTCACTAAAGTGCGAATTGATGGTAACTCAAATGCAAATTTAAAATGTTATGGCTTTATACCCAAATTAAATACATAGTGAACTTCTAGATTTTTTTCCAAACTAGCTATTATGTCCATACTAAAATATTTGTGTCCAATAACTGATACATGACTGGACTATATTTTGCATAATGCTATGCCATTTAACCACTGATTTGTCAGATGTACCTTTGCAAAACTAGGTCACCTGTTGGGTTTCCTGTGGTATTTGGGAGTGTCAGTCTACAATAGTGATGGCTAACATTCAGCATTTCAATGATTCTGGACAGTGTTACCCATGACACTTTATAATCAAGTACTGTAAGCTCGTTCGAGCAGGGTCCACATCAACCTATCGTTCCTGTAATATTTTGTAATTGTCTAATTTATTGTTAAACGTTCCCCTTTTACACTATTGTACAGCTTCAACGTATTCCGCAGCTCTTTACAGGTGCCAAAAATAATATTATTACATGTACATTCCACATTGATTACGTAACATTGTTTATAATGCACAGCAAATGAGAAATCAGGTGTACAGCGACCACTACCTCACAGAGTAACTTGATAGATATGTTGAAAACTTTATAATTTATATCTGTGACTATAACTCAAACAAGGTTATGATGGATATGGTTGATGTGGTCAGGGTTGCCAGATCCACCACATCTTCCTGGACAAACATATCACAAACATGTGGTGGGAAGGACTTATTAACCCCTTAAGGACACATGACATGTGTGACATGTCATGATTCCCTTTTATTCCAGAAGTTTGGTCCTTAAGGAGTTAAACAGATGCTGTGTGTGTGTAAATTAAGACTCTACAGGTAAAATATCTACTTGTGAATTAAAGGACCACTATAAGCACCCAGACCACTTCAGCTTAATGAAGTGGTCTGGGTGCCGGGTCCATCTAGGATTAACCCTTTCTGCTGTAAACACAGCAGTTTCAGAGAAACTGCTATGTTTACCTATGGGTTAATCCAGCCTCTAGTGGCTGCCTCATTGACAGCCGCTAGAGGCGCTTCCGCGCTTCTCACTGTGATTTTCACAGCGAGAAGACGCCAGCGTCCATAGGAAAGCATTAAGAATGCTTTCCTATGAGACTGGCTTAATGCGCGTGCGGCTGTTGCCGCGCATGCGCTTTCAGCCGATGACGGGAAAGGAGGCAGAGAGTTCCCCAGCGCCGAGAGAGCCCAGTGCTGGAGAAAGGTGATTGTTTAACCCCTTCCTCCCCGTTCAGCCCGGCGGGAGGGGGACCCTAATGGTGGGTTGGTGACCTAGAGACCCTATAGTGCCAGGAAAACAAGTATGTTTTCCTGGCACTATAGTGGTCCTTTAAGAAGGGATCATGCACCTTCCCTATTCACTTTACAGGGGGGCAGCTCTTTTCATCCTCATAGAAAGCAAGCTAGGGGGGGTCCAGGTAACCATGGTGGGTCTGGCAGCCCAGCCTGTAGTACATCACGAGACCCCTGGTCAGCTGCTGGATGTGTTTATTAATAAGGCTATGGCTGTCACAGGCCTTCATCACAGCCCCCTCTGCTGGACACCGTGTAACCTGCCACACTGAGAGTCAGCTCTGCGACAACAGACAAAGCCCAGGCTCCCCTCACTGCCTCGGCTGGGGCGGGAAGGTGACCGCTATCGCCCTATAGTAACTACCCCGGGGACAGCGCACTCACCTTGTGCTCCTCGGACTCCATGGCCAAATAAGCAGAGCAAAACTTCCGCGTTCACACGTCACTTCCGCTCAGCTGATGGCTGGGGCACCAGCCAGGCTAACGTTGCCATGGCAACAGGCGAGCCTCCCCCCCACATGTTTAGTCTTTTGGTAGAGATGGAGGGATGGAGGTTACTGCCTGTCTGCATGACATGTGACTAAAACCTCCGCATTTGGTGTATACAGAGCAGTGATGGGTCTGGGCTATATGGGATACAGGCCCTGTGTTACACATCATGCTCAGCCAGCCACATTCCTGGCTATGATAGCTAGGAGTGTGGTATCATGTTGGAAGATGGCTAGCAAAATAAGTAAAAAAAAAGTATGTAGACAATGGGGGGGGGGAGGGCTTGGCAGCTTTCCAAAAATAAAATATTGCACACTTATTTGTAGATGATTATTATTATTATTACCATTAAATGTAAAATAATACTAATAAAGATTTTTTTTAGAAAAAAAAACAACAACCAAGGTTTAAAGAATTGTTAAAGCAGTGATTTGCAGTGGCTAACTGAAACTTGCACATGGCTTGTGATTTCTTTTTACTTATTTTTCTACATTCCAAGTGTTTTTTATCTTTATTTTTTAATTTGCACGATCTTTAAATTTGCAGTAATTTTATAATATTCATGGTTCTCCTGCCACATATCTCTATAGATGCTCCAATTACCTCAGAGACTTTTGAATTCCTCTCTTACGACAGCCTCAATGGGACTCATACAGTGGCCCAATTCCCCTACCCATCAAGCTGGCAACACTTTAGACCTTATCTTTTCCAAACCTTGTTCTATCACTAACTTCACTAACACACATCTCTCTCTCTCGGATCACCACCTTCTAAGCTGCAATCTTATGTTTCTCCCCAACCAACCATATTGAACATGCCACACTTAGACTACATATACAGAAAGCTGAAATACTATCATCAGCAGCAGCTTTTCATTGACATCCAACCTCTCCTCTCACAAATATGAACTACCACATGTCCTTCAATGGCAACTACCCTCTACAACTTTACCCTATCAAGATAAGCTATGTCCAATCATTGGCCACCATGTCCAATCAACTAAATGACAAACCCTGGCATACTAAATCCACCAGATACTTCCTAAGGTGCTCAGGGTTGGCAGAACATTACTGGAAAAAGTCTCATAGTATGGCTGATTTCCTGCATTACAAATTTATGTTGCGCCCTCTCACTCGCCAAACAAACATACTTTGCCTCCCTCATCTCCACCTTGTAACACAAGACTAAACGCCTCGTTATTTTTGTAAAAAAATTTTTATGTATTCACTTTTTTTATTGAAAAGTTTTAAATTTATCAATTTAAAAAAACAAAAATACCTCTTTCAAACATTGAATTCACTAATGTATCATATATCGCCTCCCACTGCTCTCAATTCTGTATCCTACTTCACAGATAACATCAGCATCGAAAAATAAATTACCCTGCTCACGCCTTCCTTCAACTGTCCGATTCTTTGCCCGGCCTTCTCCTCTACACTCACCTCCTATTTCCGAAGAGAAGGTTTCTGCACTTCTCCGTTCTTTCTGTCATACCAGGTATCCCCGTGATCCCATTCCTTCACACCCACACTCACTATCTCTCAATAGCGACTGTCCCATCTTTGGCTAAAGATTAAATTTCTCTCTTTTCTCTTGCATTTTCCCCTCGTCCTTTAAACGCACTGATCACACCCATATTAAAAAAGCCTTATCTTGACCAGGATGCTTTACTCAGCTATCATCCTATCTCTCTTTTGCCTCCAAGTTCCTTGAAAGACTTGTTTATACTTGACTTATAGACTATCTGAACTCCAATTCTTTACTTAACCCACTACATATAAAAAATAAAAAAAAATCTAAAAATCAAAGATATATAATAATGGTAAAAAGACAAATAACCAAGAGTGGGTTGGTATAAAAACTTTACCACTCCTTGGTAAGAGTGTAGCGCTATAAATATGATTCCCAAGTGTTCAGATATACAAATATACACTTTCCCTTCAGGGTGAAACAGGGGGTATATATGTAAGAAAGAACAAAACAAAATGCACGTAGAGTAATATTGTATAACCACAGGTTGCTTTTAAATTCACTGTATAGAGAAAAACTAAAAAAATTTAGAGCCTTTTATATGGCTATAGGCTCTAAACACTTTCGCATCCATGCCTTTAAGGTAGGCAGCAGTACCGTGTTCGTATGGTTTGTTCCTCCCTTTTCCTCTCGACCAATATAGATCTCCAGGAAACGAGAGACAAGAAACGTCTGGGTGCAGATTTTTCTATATCCAAGGTGCACAGTGAAGTATATGTGAAAGAAAGGTGCTCACCTTTTAAAGAGCCTTTTTATAACTTCCTCTCCTTCTGTACCAAGACACGTTTCGCCTTCTCTGTCGGCTTTTTCCTCTGGCTCCTCATTATAGACAGTGAACTGGCCTTAAATCCCGAGGGCTGTATCTCTGCTGACCCTCACGTAGTAATGGCTAATATACACAATATACCACCAGCTGTGAGTCTGTACTTCCTCTCGGTTATCCCTGCACCCACTACAGTCTGGCTTCCGCTCAGAGCTTTCCAGAGATTGCCCTTACCAAAGTGACTAATGACAGCTAAATTCAAAGGCCATTATTCACTACTAATTCTTGATCTTTCTGAAGCTTTCAACACTGTTGACCGCTGCTTCTCCACCTCATCCTTTGCAACCTTGGCCTCGATGACACAGTTTATTCTGGTTCTCTCCATATCTCAGTTCTTTCCCTACCTTCTTCCCTGGTTCATCATTCCCTTCTGTACCTCTCCTGGAGTTCTTTAAGGCCCTTTACTGGGACTTTAGTCTGCCTCTCTTGGTGACCTAATTTCTTTCTATGGCTTTCAATATCACCTGCATGCTGATAATACCCTGACAAATGTCCATTTACATTCATAATGAACGTCCCAGACTCATCTACCTAACTTCCAGCAACTCTCACACCTCACCCCTCTGTAAATATCTACACTGAGTTCCTGGATTTGATTCCAAGTTTTCCCTCATACCTACAAAGCTCTCTATAACCATGCTCCTTCTTACCTCTCCTCCAACAGCCTGTTACTCGCACCCACACTCTAGGCTCTTACCTACTGGGCTTCTCCAGGGCTGCATTCCATTATGGAATGCTCTCCCATGGCACATTTGACTCTCCCTGTCTCTGCAGTCCTTCAAAAATCCCTAAAAATACACTTCTTTATAGATCCTATCAGCTCATCCCTTAATTCCTCCTTTCAATCTGTGTGTATTTGTCCATCATCCCTTTAGTGTGTTACCATATGTCAGATATGTTTAGTTAGAATTAAAAAGAGACCAAAAAAAAAAAAAACAAACACCAGCAATTTTTCTGAAATAGGGTGAAGATTTCCAATTGACATGATTTCACCAAAGCAAGAAATGTGATATTCTTCTAAGTAAAAGAACAAGTATATTTACTAAAAACAAGTCACCTTACTGAAGGGCTTGATGTGCGTGATGTGGAATCAATCAATAAATTGATTATCTTGCGTACCTGCCCCCGGCCAAATTAAGAAGTAATGCGTGCACGCTCCTAAAGTAATTCACACCAGACACAGGTTTCGGGTTAATAAAAAACTTGAGGAATGTTTATTCTAAAATTACATCATATGCATTGTCAGAGCTAACATGGAATAATACATCAATAATTGGTTAGGTGTTCATTTAGTGCTCTTCCTACCAGGTGTGATGTCACTGGTATCTTGGAGGTTTCCCCCAGATTCCAGCGCCATCTTGTTAATGAGGGTGTTAGTCGATGTCAAAGGGAAACTCCTTAGCGGCCATTTTAGGTAAATCACATGGAAAGTTGAATAATGCTGATTGTAGTTATACTGAGTAAATAGGCATTTTACCAACATGGATTGGGTTAATATTTTTTGTCCACAACAGCCCCCCCTTAAAATGACTATTTGCGAAAGAGAGAGACAACTACTAACTAACCCTAATGATATCCCTAATTGGCTGCAGCTCATCTGTCTGAACAGGCCTCGAACGCTTCACTGCACAGGTATCCCTCAGCGGCTAACCCACTACATCTCTCGCGTCAAACTCCTGCCCATAGAGACAGACGCTGTCCCTATACTATCCCTATATGGAAGTAGTTGTCTGTTTGAGGTGGTGGGACTGAAGAGGTGTGTGTGGGGTGTCACAGTCCATATCGTTGATATCCTGATGTAGGAATGTAGGTATAGTGCGGTCAATAGTCTGACCTACAGTCTTCTGTAAATATTTCTGCACACAGGGCATCACACAGCAAACCAGGAAGAGAAAGAGAATTACCACAGTAAGAACTGCCATACCTACTTGAAGGAGAGTTTTCTGCCATCCACTCATCCATCCAAACCATCTGTCCCATGAATTGGGGACTCCCGAATTCCTCTTTAATTCGTCAGAAAGACTTTCTAATTTCTCTATGGCCATGGTTACCTTACCGTTGGGGCCTGTATTGTCTGGGATGAAGGTACAACATGTCATAGTATCAGGGTGTATTTTACACATGCCCCCCTTTTCTGCTAGGATCATGTCTAAGGCCATTCGATTCTGAAATGTCATTTGGGAGGTAGTCTGTAATTGTTCTGCCAAGCCCCGAAGGGCATCTCTAGTATAATTGACAAATCGTTGTTGGTTATAGTAGATATAATTGATCCATTTAACATTCTTGTTAGCGGTGATGAGTGGGATCAAGGATTCAAATCCTGCCGCCACCTCATCTCTGGCCTTGAACTCATTTGGTACCCCCCTTGGTACTCCAATGGCATCGATATATATGTGTGGGTCGAAACTACCTCGAATGGGGGTTTCTCTTTTTACGCTAAGATACGTGTGTGGTGAATCGTGTGGGCCTTAGTGGTTATCAGAAATTATATGTATGGGCATGATAACTTTGGTCAGAGCACATTCTCCCCACCACAAGCCAGTCATTTTTAATCTGAGCTGCATGTCACCACATAGCCAATAAATGTCTCCCACGGACTTAACTTGATTTACTAATAGGGCAGTGGGAGGTTCTTGATAAGTGGTACAGTAGCCAGAAGGGAAT